AAAAAAAAAAAAAAAAATTGAACTTCAGTCCTGAAACAGTAAAAATGGTACTTCCAACACGGCAATGTATTACATGTCCATGTCCAACAACTTCCACGACATGTCCGGTAATGCCAATTGACCGCTGTCCATGTAATGTACAAATTAGTCACCTTTTGCCATGTCCAATATTACCAAGTAAGTATAATACTTATTAATTTATGATATTTTTTGCCCACCAAATTATTTTGAAATAATTTCAATGCAATTCTTTTTGACTATAAACACCAAAAATAGATCCATAATTGACAATCGAGTCATATCATATTTTCATCACCATTTATTACCAAGTCTTTATTTTGTTTTAAAGGTGATCCAGTAATGGCGAGACAATTTCCAACTATTTCCAGAATCCCATACTTATCAGGTATGCAATCAATAACTTCATCCCAAACTTCTTACATTTCTGTACAACAGTTACGAATTTTCATGACGTAACTTACATTCTCAATGGGTAATTCTGATCATTTTTCAGCTTTTCTTGGTACAGTAAGAAATCGGAGAAGAAAACGCCAAGTGTGTGAGTACTCTACTCTTCCATACGCTCCTTTGATATATTATAATTTATACCATATAAAGAAATGAATTAAAGTTCATTGCCTCATAAATTTAAATTGATGGAAAAAGTTTAAATAACCAAAACTTATTGAATATTTATATAACAAAATTATAATAACTAAAATTAACATAAGTATCGGTTGTATTTTTGACCAACAATGACTGCACATTAAATGATTCTACTTGGCAATTCAAAATGCAATTTTTTTTAAAATTTATCACATCCATAATAAAAACTGTAGCCGAAATAGTGGTACCCATAGAAGATAAAGCAGCTATTGACTATCTGCGCAAACTTGGGTATGTAGAAGAATCCAGCCTATCTCCAGCTAATCTTTGTCAAAATTTACCTTCCGGTGCATTACCTCCTTCTGATCAAGCTGCACTTTTTAATTTGCAATCGGTTTGTAATACCATTTAATTCGTTTATTTTTATATTAGCTAGATGCTTTTGTTTAGCATTCTTTTCAGTATTTTAGAATTATTGTAGAGACCAGCAATGATACCATTATCAATGCAACCAGCAATTGCAATTCAGACTCCTCAATTGATTCATCACCAACCAATGCCATTTCATTTTTTACCAAATATAAATGTAAGCACAATAAGCATTATATTCCAACGATTTCATTCGTAAATATCAATAATTCTATAATTATGCACTAAATGTATTTACAAAAAAATCATAAATAAATAGATAAATAAACTGATAAATTAATTATAGACTTTACAACAACAGCCAGGATTCGCTCAACTTAATTCTATGCAACCAATAAATATCTTATCAATGCAGGAACAAGATAAGCAACAATGGATAACACCTAGATCAGATGGATATATCAGATCTAATCTTCATTTTTCTGCTCCGGATACCTCGCATAAGCATAACGATGTACTTTTTTTTATTTTAAAAAAACTCTGAAATTTAATTATAGAAGAACTTTTCAAGTCACACATTTTTCTTATATAATACTTTACAATCTAAAATTTAATCATATTTATGTAAAAAAAAGTAAATATTAGCTAACAGTTAACTGAGCAATTTTGAGTTTGATAAAATAAATATATCAAGTACCATATTAAGGCAAGTTTGCCTAGACTTTAGTGCTTATAATAGTGATTGAAACGATTTAATTGAAATTTCAAACAAATATGAAACTTTAGCTTACAGAAAATAAAAAATTTGTTTTACTTGCGAAAAAGTAATGTTTTAAAAAGTTTTATTTGCTCAAATAATTTGTCATTAGCACGAAAATATTGCTGAGGCAAATATAAATCTCATATGGCTAGCACTGAATTTAAAATGAATTTCATTATTAATGTTTAGTTTATGCCATGTCAGGATTGTAACCCTCCAGGAAAAACCAATGCAACAGCGACTCCTTCAATATGCGAAGTCATGCTAATTTTATCAGCAGTTATTGGTTGGCTTAAAGCGTTGTAGTGTCAATTCATCAAGAAATTTTGACTTCTTTGTTCTGTTTTTGTTTTTTAACAAAAAAAGATGCTGCAATGGGATAAGAAAATACGCTTTGTACATCGAAATTTATGATCAGAAGTGTTGTTATAATTGAAGCAAAATAATGTAATTTTAAATTCAGTTGATTAATTTACAATTATTAAAATATGAATAAAAGTGTTAGATTGTTTGCATAAGGCTGTCATAGAATATACTTAAAATATAACCTTATAAACTGCCTGAAAAATAATAAGAAAGTGCAAAGCGTTCAACGACATTTGCATAATTTCGAATAATTATTTGACCTTTTAAACCAATTTAGCATTTCAATCAGCTATGAAAATTTATGCGAAAATTGTGAATTCCACTTACTTATGCAAAAATTTTGAATTGCTCTTATTTATGCAAAAATTGTGAATTGCAGTCATTAGTGTAAAAATTGTGCATTGCACTTATTTGTGCAAAATTATCAGACACTATAAATATGGATGAGATGTTGCTCAAAATCATTGCTATTTCTTAGTTTTCCAATCCTACTAACGGTACTCGGAACCTTCTCACCAGAAGAATGCCACCTAAGAAGGTAATATATATTTGGATACAGCGGTTGTGGGCACTCTCTCAGCATCGCAGGCAGACTGCAAATAGATCAAGTTAACAAGTCTGCTGTGCAACGATTTTTTGGTGCAAATGCTGAAAGTTTATGACTTGAAAATGTTGGAAAGCAAGTGGTTGGAGGTTGAATCAGAAAAACAATGATGATGTAATTTAGCGACCGACGACTACCAAGGGGAGAATGGTATGCTCTGTGGACGATAGGAAGCAGTCAAGAGGTGCTGTTCGACGCCGGGCAGTGCATGCTGAACCTCGAGCTCCAATTGGCAAGAAATTCGTCCACAAGTCCATTGTAAGAAAGCATTCATGATGTGATTCTTTCTAAAAGCCAGTAGGATGTCAGTAGCAGGATATTATTTTGGATACGCTGATTATTAATTTTTATCTTGTTTATTATCAACAGATGCAGCAATTTTTTATGTATAGATTGTGAGAAGATCAAAATTGAAATGAAGTAAAATAAACAGCAAATGCTTCAGTTAATTGATCAGAAATAAACGTTTATTGTAATCTATTTCAGAATTTCATGACGCATGAAATTTGTCTTTTTCAATATGTATGTCTAATAATCATTATTGTTTCAGGAAAAGTCGAATAAATCGGTAGCGAAAGGTTCTGAAGCTGAAGCTAAGAAAACACCATATGAGCACTGGATTGATCAGGTCATTGATATGGGTATTCGAAATATAAGAAGGGAATTTGTCAACACAATAAGGACTTACACTCCAACTGGTTCTATGTCTGCTTGGGAAGCTGACAAAAACTATGACAAGAATCGGTAATAATAATTACAAATGCTTTTTGTTTTGCAGAAAACCTAGTAAGTATATTTTGAAATTTCATTAACGCTTCAATCTCTAATTTTTTTACCAACTTATCTGAGTTGTCATAAATAGAAATAAAAGCAAGACATTATAATGATATATATGACTGTGCTAATTGTTTGATAACAAATTAAGGTTCGAAGATATCAAACTATTGGACAAGACAAGAGTCGTACTCAAAAATACAGCAAACGGTGGAAGTTTACTTTTTAAAGCATTACTTACAGTTAACTATGACTTTAACTTTTCATGCAGTTTTTTTTTTTTAATTTGTGATATTGTAAATACAAATACAGCAGTTAAAATAACAATACTAGGTGAAGACTATTACCATGCTTCATATGTGCACATTAATGAAAACCTTGTTTTCATCTGCGCACAAGGTCCATTACCCAATACCATTGAAGACTTTTGGTCTCTGATTATTCAGGAAGGATCAAAGGTTTCTTTTTAAGATTGAAGCTTTTAATTAAACTTTTATTAATGCATGTGATATATGAACGTAAAGGCAAATTATTTTGTGTTGATTTTACCTTTCGATCTCCTAAAGTAGTATTTCAACGCAGGTAATTGTACAATTATGTCAATGGCAAGAGGATGGTAAAAATCAGTGCACTGAATACTTTCCTAAAGACGATACTGAATGGAAAGATTATGGAGCAATTCGGGTCAAAGTTATCGAGAAAACATCTCCAGTGGCACAGCTCCGAAAAGTTTATCGAACTAAACTACGAGCTGTTCAAAAAGAAAAAAAGCATGAGGTTTGAACCTGAAAAACCTCTGTCTGTGTTGTAAGAGATCTTTTTTTAATTAAGAAGAAAAGTAAGAAATTTCTTATCAATTTTTATGCTAATTTCATATTTACTGCAGGATTACTTTTGTGAAAAGTATTTTTTGCTTAAGCTTTATCATTTATTACATGGGCAAATTATTTTAACTACATTTTTTAGTTTAATAGTATTGCAATTCAGGTATTGCACCTCTTGTATGGTGGATGGCCAGATCATTTCGTCGCAGACTCGACACCAGTCTGTCGTGAAGTGAGGGCCCATGCTCTGAAATTGGCCGAAAAAACACCTGTTATCGTCCATTGCAGCGCAGGCATTGGAAGGTTTGTAATTTTACAGATCCACAGAATAATTAGTTGTTACCTAACAGTTAATTATCTGATGAATCATATATACAGATTGTAAAAAAAACTAATTTGCATAAGTACAAGATTATGCAAAATGCAAAATTAGAAATTATAAGTGATATAACAAGTCAGAAGTTATATTATCATAATTTAACAATTTATGTGAATCTTTAAATTTACTGTATTGAGAAAATGAATGTAGAGAAATTTGCAGAACAGGCACATTTGCGGCCATTTCAATGGCAGTCGATAGATTGAAAACTACTGAAAGTCTATCCATAGCTGAAGTAGTTAAAGATCTGCGTGATCAAAGAATGCATTCGGTGCAAAACGATCAGGCAAGTTATGTTTTCTATTAAGGTCAAACTATTTATCAGAGTAATTTTCAGTCATTTGATTATATACTGACAGTAGATAAGATTTCGTCTACCTCAGAAATGCATTACAAATCTATTAAAAATGGATTAGCAAGAGTAACACAAGATCAAAAATGCTGATAACTGCATAAACAATATCACAACTTTCTATTTTTCTACTAAATTTAAGCCAATTTAAATTTCTACTAATTTCACTTTAAAACTCATTATTCCATTCCAGAGTAGAATAAAATAATGTTTAAACAGACATAAGTGAAAAATAGTCAGTTATGCATCATTTAAAATTGGCAATGCTCATTAATTAATAAATTAATGCTGCAATAGCAAATCAGTAAGTGAAAATTTGCTCACTTGCCATGTAAATTGTTGTACATTTTTCAGCAATATTTATTCATCTATCGAATGGTAATTGAGATTTTACTGGCTGAAGACTTACTGATCAAGAATCCTGATATTATATCGCTGATAAAAGAGTACGACGATCTTGTCGCACGTAAACGTCAAGAAAGAAACAAGAAAAATAAAAAATAATGACAACATGGAAGTTCATATGGAAATTCATATGGTTTCCATTCATATGGCAAAAACTGACTGACTGATAACGTATGGACTAATGAATTAATAGAACGATTTCTGATTTTTAAGAAATAAGTGAAGTTTTTTCCATCTACTGATTAGTTATTAACTTTCACTAGTGATTAAAACTGCTTAATTGTAAAATTTTATTATTTTCTAACACTTCAAATGTATTTTTTACTTGTAAAATAGCATTTAATAAAAGTATATAAAAATTAATTGCATTTACCGTGGCACAGAATTAAATGTGATCATCGCAATCATATTTAAAATTAGAATTATGCAATCGAACATGCATAATGACTTTAAGAATTAGCACAGATTATAACATTCTGAAATATTCTGTAACAGATCTTCGTCTTATTCATTTTGATTCGAATCACGTTCTCCCTCGCAGAGTCACGGACTTCAAAGGTCATCTACGTCCAGTGCGTTCGGTTCGCTTATCACTGCAAGTCTTAAAAGACTGTAATGCTAACGTACTTAATATAGCAAAAAATAGATGAGTGATAAAGCAATTCAAAGAAGATATGGTCTAGTTGACTGATTGCATGGAGTAGCTGTTCATATTGTGTAATAAATTAACTAATTGTACTTGCAATACTGTATTAATGAAGTAATTGTATTTAAAGTAAGAAAGGGTTGTTTTTCAATATCCTCCTTGAAGAACTGAACAATCTTTTATTACACCTCTATCCAATTTGTATTTCTCACCATACAATTCGATATTAATCTAATAATAATAAATATGAACATTTAGTAAACAATAAAGGCGTACAATGCAACAGACAATATTATTAAAATCATTCTTTTATAAAGCATTGATTTGAATCAATAAAGTAATTACTTAATAGTAAAAATGATCATATAACTATATTCCAAAACTAACATATTTGTTGATGACTTATATAGGTAAGACAACAATTGTCAGAAAGCACTGCAGGACATAATATATTATATAATAACAACGAAAATGAATTTCTAATTATCTATGCTTATTTCTTAATCATTATTTACGACAATTGTTTCCTGTTTGCGCAACTGGAAAGCAGCAGGCCCTGATGGAATCTACAACTCTTCACTAAGAACGTATTTGATTTCTTAAGATGTCCCAAACATAGGTAATGACTTCAGGCCAATAACCTGCATGTCAAACCTTTGAAAAATGTCTGAAAATAAAATTGCTTCTGCTATTATTCAGTAAGAGCAGTAAATTGTATGCAAGAAATATATCAATCATTTGTGCATATAATATTTATCATAAGACATTGGTGGATTATGAACATTATACTTTACGTCTGAGAATTTTTTATGGCTTATAAGTCAGTGGAAGTGATTAGTAAGTAGAAATACTGAAAACAGTTAAAGCAGAAGAAATGGTAGTTTCCCTTAGAAAAATTATTAATGAAACAAGGACCATTTTTTGAACACAACTGATTTACTACATTAAACTCAGTCTTTCCACTTTTACAACTTTGTTAGCAGATTTCGAGCATTAATCAACACAGTGATCAAAGCAAAGTTTTAGTGTTAACTGAATTAAAATGTAAAATATTTATCTATGTGGTGTGGCGTTTTAAAAATCAGTCAGTTACAGAATATAAGCACTGTGATAATTTTGCAATGATTATTACTACGGAAATCAGAATATCCAGGGATATCCCATAACTCTACGTTAACAACTTCAAGGAACATATGTTTATTTCAGCTCGTTCAACGCTGCTCACTGCATTGATTTCCTCTTTCTGTTTTCAACTTAAGTTGATAGTTGAGAGTGCGTACGTATTAGTCAAGTTTTAAATTTCAATTTCTAGCTCACTTATTTTTTAATATCTCTAATTTCCATGAGAAAAAAATCAGGATATTATGCTCCAATATTAAGCTTTATTAACTGATTTTTCATTTGGTATGGAAAAATCATTAATAAATAATATTTGCAACAAATTCAATATTAGATCGAATATAATTTTTGAACTTTATTAAACATTTGCCATATTCATTGTAAACTTGAAAAAAATTTAAATTAATAATAAACAGATTCTTTGGAAATGAAGTCATATATGCCAAATGGTAAACAGAGGGTATCTCCTATTCCAGAATATTTTTTAAAAATTTCAAAAATTTTGTTCATCATTTACAACAGTGCATGAATATATTGTTTTCCGAGAATTTATTTATCAACCAAACCATTTTATGAAGTTCTTGAAATTAAATTATGATTGTACATATTTGATCTCAAAAAAATTCTCAAATTCCTTCAAATGAAATACTTTACTTTTTTGTGATAACATTACTTTCAAAAGTTTGATTTTGTAAGAGTTTATTTTTTAGCTTTCAGATTTTCCAGAAATTCATTTAAATCCTTCTCAATCAATCAATACTTATGGTATTTTTATTTATTGCAAATATTTACTACAAATTCAATATATTTATACTGTAACTTACTTGCAATGCATCACTCTCTATTTTATGATGACTTAGAGACTAACTCTTCGTTGTTGAAGTCGGCTAAAGGTAAACCAAAAGGATATCATCCTACCCCAGTGAGTAAACGAAAACTTCACTGCTTTGTAGCATCTCCTTATGAAAATCAGTACAAATTAAATGACAACGAGTGTGAGACTAACTTTGAACTCAAAAATATTCTCAAGAACGACAAAAACATCAAACACAATAACAACTGTTGTCCGCCCACTGTATTACAGTATGAAAACAATGCTTTGAATGAAAAGGTTTGTTCCATGTCAAAAAATAAAATAGCATTAACAAGTTTCCTCTTAATATTTACAGTTTAAATTGCACATTATGACTTTTTTAATAGCTAAAATAAATTATTTAAATAATATTAAAAGAAATAACCATTTAATTTGTGCGTTTCTCTTTTAGTCATCAAACTATTCACATAATATGCCATAAATTAATTGAAAACATCACTTAAATGATAATTTTATTAGCTAACAAAATTAGAATTTTATGGAAAAGCTGAAAAATCATAACTTTTTTAAATAAAATTTGGATATCTGTGTTGCATAATGGATAAAATTTGTAGATTACTTGCTTTGATCGTGTGATCCGACCATGTGTCGCAGAACTTGTCGCTGTATTTTTTTGTATTTTCATTGCAAAAGTGATGGAATATGAGTTAATGGTGCATATAATGATAAGCAATAATGAACGAATTATTATGCAAGCGTTGACGGATTCAGTAACTGTCGTTGTTATGATCCTAGCCTTTCACACGTGATTTCTTTTTTCTTTCTTTGCTTTTTCTTGAATTCTTTTTTAAGTTTTAAATCTTTGACAGAACCAAATACTTATCAAACCTTTATCAACCGCACAAGAACTTTTCAAATTGCAAATAATTTCGCTCCTTGCAATTCAATCCATTACAAATTATGCATATAGTAAAACCATTAATTTTTATTGTTAAAGCAAAAAAAATTAGCAAATTAAAGTTATGAACTGAAGTAATTTTTGATTCATTACTTGAAAGAAATTTTTTCAATATTTGCTAATTTAATCAGCATAAGACATTTTAATTTACAAACGGATCGCGACCTTTTAATTTTTAGTTACACTTTATATCTGATAACGAATTAAATTTTTATTTTAGTAATAATAAGATTGATTTAAAGTTGAATAAAAATTATTCATATTTTCATTTCAAAAATTTCAAAACATCGTCAAATGATTAAATAAATTACTTTTTAAACTGTTTTTTGTATTATCTTTTTTTTTTTTGCTTTGTTCATTAAAGTAAATATAATAAATATTTGCAAAGGAAGTTTTGCTGCTTTTCTATTAATAAAAACATGTCTTTTTAAAATAATATCAAATAATTAGTGCTTGACTGCACGTTTTGACATTTTAATATTAAAGATGGAAAGTGAGAAACAGTAAGACAAATGAAAACTTTGTTAATTTTGTTCACTTCAGGGTTACAAAACAATTATGGAAATTAATAAAAGTCCTTAAAATTTGATGGGAACTTATTTATCAAATTACCTACTTTTGCAGGGTCCATTTGAGTCCAGTAATCACTCTTGTTGAATTGTTTGCACTCACTACTGCTTGGCCGATGTGTTTTGCTATAATTTTTATTCAAATTATAGCTTCCTTCGTTGCTATCACTGTTTTTGCGGTAATTAATTAATACTATTAATCAATATATATTTATATTTATTTATTTATGTGATAATTACTCTCAAATACTTTTGATTTACTTTTTTGCTTATAGATGCTTCGATTTGGTAATTTGGAAACACAAATGGCTCGTATTGTACGTGATGTTGGTGTTGACAGTATTGGAGCTGAATATCATTTGGTAAAAAAATTAGATAATAACTTCACTCAACTATTATATTATGTTCTAGCATGAAACGATTATAAATACGAATACAAAATTTAATTTTTCATCCAAAATTTCTCAACATTTTTTGAAAAATTTGAGCAGTCTTTTGCGAACAATTCTTTTTTTTATTAATACTGTTTGAAAAGATGAAAGAAGGATAAATAAATGATTACTATTTGTGCCCTTATCAGCACATCTAAATGTATTTTGAATGTCACAAGAATTTTCACTGTTTTTGATTCAAAATTAGATTTTATAATTAACTTTGAAAAAGCATGAAAAAAATGATGAAAATATTTTGATTACTTACTTGTAAAACATGTATAGGTACTTTCACAATTCATTGGTACATTATTGGTTGTTACCAGCCATCTTCTGACAACCACTCGAACAGGTTCAGGACTAACAGCTATGTCTCGACCAGCAGCAAGTCCATTATCAGTAGCTGCTGCAGTGTTCATTTCATCTTTACTTTGGTTAATTTTACACTTTGTTTTAGCATCAAATTGTATGATAAAACTTTGTTGCTTTTTGATTTTTTCAATAGATAAAAACATAGCAAAGAAGTGAGCAAGACAAAAAAGACCACATTTAGAGGTCTTAAAATCATTTTTGTGCAGAAATATGAGAAAAAATGTTGAAGGACAAATTTGAATTAAAGAAATTTGAATTTTTGCATTTTTTTCTTTTTAAATTTGCATACTTCATTACTGCTTTACATAGCTACATTTATTGACAGTTTATTGAATTCAACAATCGGATGGAATCCGCTACTTGCATTTGCATTGGCTAGTTATGGCAGTATTAGCTGCAACTTCACCTATCTAAAAATGCAAGGAATATTCTGGATTGGACCCTGTTTAGCCTCTCTTTTTGCGTGTTTCTTATACAGGTCACGTTTTGCTCTATACTTTACATTTTTTTTAACACCAAGTTTGTCAAGTACATATTATTTATCAACAAATTTACTTGATTCCAAGAAATGAAACATTTTTATATTATTCGTTAAGTACCAAATGAATCCTTTAAATGTGTTTATACTACTACAACTTAAAAAATTTCGTTTGAAGAATTTTATAAGTTTTGAGTTTTGTACTTGAAAATTGTGCAATTAATCAAAATCAATTATGATTAATACTCCAATTAATGCAAAATTAATTATTCAGTTTACTTTCTTGCTTGAATAACTCTTCTTTGCAATAAAAGTTAAAGCTTACTGAAAGTTATTACGCTTTCTGCCAATGCATAACTTTAACGTGAGTTCATTTCAGGCTTTTATTCGTAGTCAAAGAATCGCGTCTGATGAGGTGGTCTCCACTCAATACTCGCCATATTTAACATTTCTCTTCACTGCATTCCTTTTTTTCTCTGCTTGCTCCATTGACATATTGCCGTTAAATGATACATTCCACTAACTGATATCTTTTCTGACTAAAAAATTTTATAAAAATTACATTAAAATTTAAAAATTATAAAACCATATTCTCGTCACACTAATATTTCAGTTATTCTGCATAGATTTTCACGTTAATTTCATTTTCTGTCAACTAAATCATTGAAGTCTTTTTATCATTTAAGTTTTTTAATCATTTTTTGTAGTATAAACACAGAAATTTATAGTAGGCATAGATAAAATTAATTGCTGACAGCTATTCTATTAAATTTACACATCTATACAACATATTGAGAATTTAATTCATTTATATTAATTAGAGAGTTTAATATTAATTAATATATTGACTAAGCAATACCGTGAAAATGTATTCTGGGGGTTCTAACACGATACTTTTAGCTGCTGTATTTTGTGCTCAATTTTGGTGCCAATTTTTCACGCATTGTCTTTAGTTATTCATTTTTTGTTTTGAGTATTTGTTGCCAGTTAGTGATAAGAATTTCCATCGTAAATGCAAGTCTTCGATTTATTTGATTACTTTGATTACTATTTGTTTCATTTTTTTTTTATTAATGTACTTAACATGTTTTCTAAATGACTAAGTACTTTTTTGAAGAGTAGTTAACTACTTTGACATTTTATATCGTAATCTATTTAGTAAAGTACAAGAATGACGTATGATAAAGTTCATGACCTACATACTGAAGCAAAAAGAAAAGATTGATGTGAGGTGATGATATTATGTTCGAGTTTTCACTTTACTGCTTTTTGAGAAAACTAATCAGAAATAAACTGAACTCCAGTTTTCATGCTAATTTGATCAAGTGTTAATCTAGCATAAGTGCTATAAAGTGAAATTTATGGGTTGCTAGTACATGATAATGAGTTCATTTTGTGTTGGAGAGAAAATACATGATTAAAAACTCTAATTAGTGTAAAAAAAATAAAACAAGAAAGACAAAAGTGATCGGTAAATCGCCACTACACATGTGAATTCTGATAATATTCTGTTCTCTTTTAGAAACTAGTCACTCTACGTCTATTTATTAATATCTATTGCTTGCAGTTTCTTGTCTCGTTGCGAGTGCTAATTTCAAAGCTTATAATTACTGGAATGTCAATGAACGATATGGTTAGTCTGACATTAGACGAGATTATTGCACGTAGTGGCCAAAAATTTCGTGCCAAGCGTACTGGATTTACCAAACGAAACAGTTTCCGCAGCGGCTTACGTCGAGTACCTATAACATCTACTCTGGCAATTTTATCACTAATTTGTTTTTTTCAATTTATAAATCTATTCTCTAATCACATATTTTTAATTTAGACTGCCTTGTATTTTATAAATAAATGTATTTTATGGTGAGGAAGTCGTTGCTATTAGTCAAAAGTAAAGAACTCTCCACCAAAGAATATTTTCATTCGTAAAACACATGCTTTTTTGCGGCATAATTTTATTGCTCATGCTTTCATCAGAAACTATGATTATAAAATCTCTACTTTCAGCGCTCGAAAGGGAATTTTCGTGCGAAAAATTTGAAACAGGAAAGTAACGTGTGCATTGTAAACATTTCAAATCTTGGACCAATGGTTACCACATCTGATCTGCAGGTATATTTATTCCTGCCAGTTGAATTACTTTTCTGCTAAAATAAAAATTTTACTGGCTAATATTTACTGGCTAAATTTTTTTCCAGGAATTGTTTTCGGGGTTTCCTTATGAGGATGTTGCAGTGCAGTATGAACCAAATGGCATCCCGTCTGGGACTGCTGTTGTAATATTTAAAAAATTCGAAGACGGTATGAAATTGAAACGGCAGTTTTCAGGAGTCAGATTGGATGGTAAGCTTTAGATTGTACTAAATATTACTTTAACTTTTCCATATGTTTAGTTACTTTTAATTAGCATTATAAAATCAAGTTATGAAGAATCTTCCAAGCTGTTCTTTCAAATTTTCTCCAAGGTGAGCATTACAAACAGCTTTTATGTGTTCACTTTACTCACATGAAGTGTAATCTTTTTTGATCTATTTGGTGATAAGAATTCACCTTATAAGATATATGTAGATGATTGAGTATCGTAGAATCAACGATGATATTGTTAACATCGCTAAACTATATACTGCAACTTGATGAATCTTGTTATATTGTAATTTTATTCTAGCTAGTTTTGGTAGTTCCTTAAACTTTCCGAAAATTATGTTGAGAGTACTGTTTGGAGTTAAAATGTTTTGTGAATATATAGCGCTTCTGTAATATGCATCATTCAGGGAAAGTGATGGAGATATTCGTGCTAACGAAAAATGATTTCTTGCGTGGAGTTTCGCAGGTCAGTTGTCACTTTTTTAAATTGGCTTTCAGTATAATTGGGATAGATAAACTATATGCTTTTCATTTGGTTTCCTAACAATCCGCTTACTGATAAACTTTTCTGTGTTGAATATCTTTTTAGAAACAGTAAGTAGCTGGACAGATATCTGGATATACCAGAGAAAGAATTCCATGAAAAGCAATTTCTTGTAAATGATCAATATTCACTGCGAAATTTGAAAGGAAAATTTATGTAATATCAAAAGACCTTTGTAGGGTCGCATAAAAAAGCGCGTGACAAGAGGCAGCACTCGATTTGGTATTAGCAATTTTCAGACAAAGAAACGAGTTGGTAACTTTGTAAAATCACGAACTTTAGCTGCTCGTAAAAATCGTCCGACAAGTGAAGAATTAGATCGAGAATTAGATGCCTACATGCGTGGTTCGAAACACCCAAAAGTTTCTGCGCCATGAGTTTGTGTTGATGTTGAAATTTTTATTATCAATATTAAAATATTTTAATGTTTCTATATGATAGTTTTGTATGACACTTTAAATTATTGCAAAGTTATATGAGATAGGTCGATCTCATCTATTTAAGTTTTGTCTTCGTTGTTTAAGTTTGATACATAAGAGATTTTAAATGACGCATACAATAATACTTAATGTTTTTTTGTTGTTTTTATTGACAATTTTGATAATTTGGAGAATTTTTGCATGACATTTGAATTATGTGAGACCGTCTCATTCGCATTCATAATAATTATTCTTGGTTAAATAAAATTTCTTTTTTTTGAAACTTTTTTTATGTATAAGAGTTCCTTTGAATTCCACCAATGTGCATGTCACGTTAATCGTAGTGTAGTAAACTTGAGTGATAGTTTGATGATCAAGTTTATTAAAAGTAATCTGTGTTTTAAATTCATTTGATATAAATTTCAGTTTAGTGACCTAATAAGAGATTCATTTTGCAGTTTGTTCTTTTTATGAATTGTTTGAAATTGTTCGTTTCATAATTCATAAAGTACATCTCCGACTTGTGTGGTTAAAAAATTAGAAGGTTACGGTGGCAGTCAAGACAAAGTCATTGAAGCACACAAGGATTATTACAAAATTCAGTAGATAATTCTGTCATTTTGAAGGTCTTTCTTAATATTGATGTAGCTATTTAAACTAAAATCTGAGCATAACCTGTCTTATCTAGTCTTTAATAGTTGCTTTGATGCACATAACTCACTTAGTTCTGGTATCGTTGTAATCTTAAAGCACCACAAAGTTAAAAGTGCTTTCGGTAGTTTAATTTTACAGTTTCTTTGTAATGATTAAAGTTGCTTTTTTCACTTGTCATGACGATGAATGAGGTTTGTTTTGCGAGTCTGTTCCCATGTGTCTCGCTTGCATGTATCATCGACAATGATATTATTTGTGTTCAGCTAAGTAATATGTTCTCTGATGTAGTACTTGCTGTTATTATTTATTTATTTTTAATCTCTAAATCTGAGATTGGAATCTATTTCAAGGGATGGTATAGCAGTGATGAAGCGAAAATAAAATGAGAATGAAATGCAAATTTGGCTTTTAAAGAAAATAATAAAAGAAACTTTCTTAGCACTTACTGCAGTTTCTATGCTATACTCGGCTGGGATAAAGCAGAACTAGCTCTTCATTTTAAATTTTCACGGCACACTGCTGTCAGTACTCAGGAGTTCTTTTTGAACTTTAATTTTTGATAGCAAAGTTTTGGTTTTAAATGAAAGAGATGTTTCAGTGAAACAAAGTAGTGGTCGAATATAAATGTTTATGCTGGTTAATATGAATGATTAAAAAGAACTTAAGACTTTACAGCTTTTGATATTTTCTTTCTTGATTGTTAATGCTTCGCATTATTTTCCAGAGTAGAGTGAAGTAATTGTGTATTTTGGATTGTTCTGCTATAAAGTAGATATAAATCCTGAAGTAATACATTTTATATCACAAATTATATTCATAAAAATAGTCAAACTGGCTCTGCAAATGGGAAGCGCATATGAAGCAATTGGTCCAGCAGCAGGTAGTGCAGCTGCAAATGGTGATAGACATGGAGGAGGTGATTAAGTTGTGATCAATACTCCACAAAATTACATTATTATTATTACTTTTAAATTCTGATTACACTACTTAGTTCCAGAAATGACTGTTAATAACATCTCTGTTCCATTACGGCGGGTAGTTTCAACAAACTTCTTATGTTTAAATTTATTAATTATCAGATACTACTTACTGTTTGTTTCTTTTTTTTTTGTATTTTTTTAAAGTCTTCCATATCTGATTTCATATGTATTAGTTGCGCAGATTTTATTAGAACTGAAATAATGTAAAATTGAATATTTCGATCAGTGTATATGATAACTGCATCTTTTAGAATTAGAAAAGTAAGTATAGACTTGATGGAGATTGATCTTCAAGTAAACATATATGAACTTATCATCATATTGTAAAATTTGATCAGGATTTAATTTAATATTTAATCAGTCTGCTCATTGATTACATAAACATAATGCGCTTACATACTATGCAATTACTAATTGCACCCTACACCATCTAAGTGTTTTTGACCAGAGTTTCGACTCTTAGTCTTTCGATTTTTGCTCAGCAACCTATCTGATATATAGCAGTCAAATTTTAAAAGAGTATCAGTATAATTTTGAAAGAGTTTAAGTAGTTTCTTTAATTGTTTGTCACGCATTACTTTTAATAACTTGCAGAATGAACTCAGTGTTTGTGAATGAAAATGTTTTGGAAAGAAGAATTGTTAATTAAGAATTGAGTTAGCAAATTTAAACAAGATTCTTGTAAATCTTTTATTTGTAATTGTAGGTTGTAATTGGTCAGCTACGGCGATTATTTTGATGATAATATTTATGCCTTTAATGATGGCATTCTTTTTTGCTGCAGGTGCTGGATTTGGTAAACTGTGGAAGTCGGGTTAATAGGTTATAATTTGACTTTACATATTCGTAGCAAGTCATTCATATTTAAAAAATTGTTTCGTGAGATAACTAATAATATGTATTTTGAAAATAAAAAGTCTCAAATCTTTGCATTTTTTTTCAAGGTAATAGAAATAATTGTCAAAGGGAATACTTATAATTTAGTTATTTTTGTTTCATTCATTTCAGTATGCAATATTTACATCTGATTTTTTGTCATAATATATATATATATATATATGAAAACCAGTATATTATATAATACTACATTTAAGAGTTAAAGAATATTATATCAATATTATATTGAAAATTAAGAGAAAATGTGAAAATTTTGCATTTTTATATGGTTATTTGCAAAAAAATAAAGTTTGTATTGATTATTACAATAAATAAAAATTATTTTCAGACAAAATGAGCATGAATTAACTTGTTGGTATTAACACTAAAATGATAAGCAATGAAAACAAATGTTTTGCGCATCACTGAAACGAAATATGTGAACCATTAGAACGCTTATATTGATAGAAAAGAAGCTAATAAATATAACATGATTTAAATAGTTGCATTGCGTTTAAAGTTAATCATTATATTGAATCTGTTTCAAAAATTATCAATAAAACTATAAAGTTAATAAAGTCTACTTTCATGCAAGACATATTTTCCATTTCATTTTACAAATTTGAGCCGTGCTTTTTTAAATGTTTAGTTCTAACATATTTCAAACCTTTTCAAAATTTTTTTATGTCTTATCTTTTTTTTCCAACTTTAATTATTCTAAATATCAATATTTGCTAAAAATTGAAGTTATTAAAGTTCATTCAAAAAATCATTACTTGTAACGAGTAACAAATTTGATTGTGAGAATATTTTTTAATTTTTCACCAAAGTCATGTATTCGAAAATTATGTATTTACGCTTTCTGTAATATTAAAATGCTATCATAAAAAGATAAATGAAAAAGTTTATCTTTCAAACAACTATAAATAAAGTTTCAGGCAAGACAAATTACTGTAGGCTAAGTCCAGTAAAAAAACTGATCTATTAGCGCAAAAACAAATTACTTCCTAATTATCTTATTAATTTGACTCAAATCTATGTAATCTGAAATTCTGCCTGCAAAATGAAATGTGTTTTATCAATATGTTGTTATGATAGCGAATGTTGCTGAAAATGATCAAAAACCAAGAATGAATACTTTTTTCTGAGACGATTCAGAATACAAAATAGTAAAATACAAAGGTAGAGACACACTGTTATCTGCTGCTTATAAAAAATATAAATTTTGCTAGAAAATATTAAGCTTTTATTAAGCGTGATTTGCATTTATATAAATCAAGAAGTATGATAGAAAGAACTGAAACTTGTGGATGCATCAAATAATCCGAAAAATAAATTCTTCTGGTAAGTCTTGCTATTTATTTTGAAAACATTAACGATTCCAATTTCGTATTTTGAATTCACCAGAATAGTTCGAAGTGTTATACGGTAAAACAAAATTTTCTGTCTTTGTGCTTTAAGTTTTCATGCAAATTTGATTTTTGAAGGAAAAATCAGCGTTAGAACAAATTGAGATTAAATTAGATTATGAATAATTACTGTGAATATTATTTAAAAGTATACAAAAGTAGTTTCAAATGATGAAAAGTTGAAAAAAATTTGAAAGTGCTGAAACCTGCAATCAAATCCCATTGTTCGCTAGAAAAGTTTTTCATTTTGAAAATAAAATTTTTTACTTTACGAGGTGCGAAATGAAAATAATAGCATTCATTTATCACTAGTAATGGGTTTAATTTCAACTACCTTCAATTACAATATCATGTTATGATTATTTGAAGGATTATTTCGGGAAAAATTTTTAACGATCATATTTACACTAACAAAAATTTACTTAAATGTCATCACAAAATTTAAAGTATTCAATTTTTAACGTAAATTTATTTTCTGTTTTAGTTTTTGAATTATATTTTGTGATATTTACAGTGCAAAAGTCAATGTAACCATATTGCAAAATTACAAAGAAAATATTAAAACAATTGGAAGTTATGAAAATAGTCTTTGTTGAATGCTATTTAAATTATTTTCTTGCTTATGCAAATTTCTGTATTATAAGTATTGCCTATCAAAACAATAACACAATTTCACATCAAAACTAAACCATTGAAATGATATTAATAAAATTAAAAAATATAATAAAACAAAAAAAGTAAATTGCCACTCTTAAAGAATTAATAAGAAAACTGGAAAGTAAAATGGGGAAATCCACGAATTTGGGCATATTCTAATGAAAGTTAAAAGATTTTTTGCCTTTTATGATTACTGTATATGACTAATTTATTAGGCTATTTTGAAGAACTACAAAGCATTTTGCAAAGTAACCTTCATGACTTGCATATCTTTTCATACCTTCTGAAATCAAAAAAAAGTACTGAAGAAGATAAACAGAAATGCAACTAAAAAATATCCACTTAGAAAGTAAAAACTACTGTAATTTAATTGAAAAGCATAATTTATTTTCATTTGTATGTAAAATTTAAGCTAATATTTTTTGTCACACTAACAAAAAATGTTAATTACTGTATAAGCACAAAACATGAGTCTTAATTTAGTTCACAACTTTTTATCTTTCCTTAGCAACTTTTAGTCATTTTTATAAAAAATATCACTATATTTCTGCACTCGAAAAATTACATCACATAAATAATTCTTAACAATTAGAATATACTGGTAAATGCAGCAAAATTTTCAACCAAGAAACATTTCTTGTGAAACTATTTATTACATCAAAATAAAACAAACATTCATACTTCGTTTCAGTTACAAATATGTAATTTCAATTTCTGTTCACGTAGAACAAGTAATGTTAAAACTTCAATTTTTATCATTAATTCACGAGATTCACTTTTTGTATACTCAAATTGTGTCAATCAATGCATAATTTCACAAATATACTAGATCTGCAAGTATTCAAAAAGAGATCATGAAAATTAGAAACACCCGAGTTAATTTAAATCCATGAATGATTGCAGATGAAATTGAGCAATATCCGTTTCAAACTGATACCTAATCATAACTAATAATCAGTTTTGAAAACTTAATAAGACAAAAAAATTTCTTCGATAGAAACATAAGAGTTTGGTTGAAAATATTTCAAGATATTGCTTTGGTTAATAAGGAAAAACGGTGTAATTCACAGTAATGCATCCGTAATTTACTTACTGAAACGAATCTAATTTGTACAGATTGTAGTTTGCGCATGAATATATTTCATGGAAAATGAATGAAAAAATTTAGATTAACTTTTCGTCAAGTCTTCAGTTGCTGCTTGCAATTTAAGTGTATCACTTTGAAATTTTGATATAAAAAAAACAAAGCAAAATTAAAAATGTAATCAAAAGTGTTTGATCATTACTGATAACTATTATGAATATAGTATGATAATACTTGGTTGGCTAAAAATATAGAAAAAGCGGTGAGTAGTGAAGAAAAAAAAGAAAATTTTGCCAAGTATGAAAAATTAATGAAAGTTAATTTTTGATCAGATAATAGACATTATTTTTTGTTAAAAAGATTGAGTGAAATTTAGTCAAAAAATTTGGAAAATATCGCTGTAATATTTAAATTTGCTTTTAGATGAAAGTGATCGGAAGAAAAAATGTAAATTTCAGGACGAATTTCTTTTTTTTCTTCTTCTTTGGATTATTTTATCCAAATGTCAAGCAGATAGTAAACTATCCATCAAATAACATAAGTGATAATAAGACAAAAATAGCACTAAGAATTACTTATTCGTTGATTTGATAGAGAAAATTGAGAAACAATTACTAAGACAGTTAAATTTTCATTTTTTTATAATTTTTAATTATGAAAAAAGTTTAAAAAAAAAAGAGAACAATACTAAAAGACGTCCAGCGCCTATCATGTAATACACCGTAGTCAATTATTCTTGAAAACTGAGCAAAAAAATGGAATCATCTTTAGGTTGTATGACACCAATCCAGATTCTTAAAATAAATTGGAAAAATGAAAATGTTGAAAAGTATTGTTTTGCGAATGATATCATCACTACTATCATTACCAATATCACTATCCTTATATGTTATTGTTTATATCAATACTAATATCATTACTTTTGTTGTTAACCCATCAGTCCATTCAACTATGAACTACTGCTCCATCCATCTATCCAATTATTCATTCATATATCCACTCATCCATCAATGTATCCATGCATTCATCCATATTTGTGTGTGATAAATGATAAAAATCAAGAAACAGGCCGCAAATTGAAGGGGTTAGTTGGGTCAACTACCCTCAGGCAACCTTATCAAAATTATACTTCTATCCTCTCTGATAAACAAATTCTAACCTTTTCATCCCTTGAGAAAAGAGTTCCATGGTCAGATTAGATCTATACCTGAAAAGTTTCACTATATAAAAGGAGCTATAATTATTGTTCAATAAGACAAGAGCTGCTGTTGCCTTCTTGTTTTGAGCACTTTCAATTTTCCTGTCAACGCTACTGATAATAATTCTATCCAGACATAATTTTACTATGGCGAAGATTGTCATATTACCTTTTGGTATTAACATATTACTACTGCCATTACTATTTATAACGCAAATAGTGCTTCTTAATGCAATTCCAATTGATAATGGTGTTGAAGGTGAGCCTGAAATTGAGTGCGGTCCTATGTCAATTACTGTTAATTTCAATACGAGGAATCCATTTGAAGGTTCATTTTTTCATCTCAAGTTGAAATCATCCTTATTTCATTTCAACGTCAGATTTAATTCTATGACAGAATAAATTTTTCTTACTTCTGTAGCATTAATATTAATATTTTATCCTAAGTACAAAAATTTATTTTTTAGTAGCTATGAAAGTATCTCAGTGAAAAACATCAGCACGCGATTATATTAATTAAATGATTTATTTTTTTATTCCACTCTGACAAATTCTATATTTAAATATCATTTGACTTATTTCAAAAAAAAGGGTTAATAAATAATTACAGTATTTCAGATTTTTAAATATCAAATATTTAAAAACTTCAAGACTGCAAAAATATTTGGATGAAAAGTACCAGCTTTTTATTCCTTCAATAAGTAAAAAAAAAACTGGATTTTTTTTAAAATTTCATTCATTTAAAAGTAAAAGCATGCTTGGTAACTAGTTTACAGCTTTCTAAATAGTCACATTCTGGAATTTTTAATCGCATATTCATATATATAATTCGTACCACATGTTTCTTTACTATTGCTATAAAGAATATATTTTAAATAATTAATTGATATTTGAAATTAATAACGTGAAAATTTCATACACTGATAAGTAGCAATTGTGGAAAAAATTAATGAAATGAGAAAAGAATTGTTTCTGAAAAAAATTATGAATGAAATTTTTGTTATTTTTATTTTTATGTAAGAAAGATTGTAACAGAATTTTTATCGTACTTTTAAGTTGCATATTTTTATGATTTTAAAATTATTTTTAGTTCCAGAGTCTATATTGGCAAGCTTCACTCAACTTTTCAGTACAGATTTTGTGATAAATTTAAGTGAATACTTACTTATAGGACACGTTTATGTAAAAGGCCTCTATGAACAAGAAGGATGCCGATCAGATGAAGGTGGACGTCAGGTGGCGGGAATCGAACTTCCGTTTGACACGTGTAACGTGGCACGTACGAGATCATTGAATCCTCGTGGAGTATTCGTAACAACCACTGTAGTCATCTCATTTCATCCAATATTCATTACCAAAATTGACCGAGCCTATCGGATACAATGCTTTTACATGGAAGCTGACAAAACAGTCAGCTCTCAAATTGAAGTTTCTGAAATTACCACATCTTTCCAAACACAGGTGGTGCCAATGCCTGTCTGCAGATATGAAGTAAGGAATTGTTTCATTGCTGGCTTATGCATATTAACTTAGCAATTGAATGATTTTTGAAATGACTACAAAAGCATACAAAACTGACAGATATTTCAATTTTTGTCTTTTATTCATGCAAATTTCTAACAGTTGAAAAGCTTTTATGGTTTTCAAATTTTAGATTTTGGATGGAGGTCCAACAGGTCAACCAATTCAATTTGCTACAGTTGGTCAACCAGTATACCATAAATGGACGTGTGATTCAGAAACAGTTGACACATTTTGTGCTGTGGTACATTCATGTTTTGTTGATGATGGAAATGGTGATACAGTGGAAATTCTGAATGCTGAAGGCTGCGCACTGGATAAGTATTTACTGAATAATTTGGAATATCCAACTGATTTGATGGCTGGTCAAGAAGCACATGTTTATAAATATGCTGATCGTTCGCAGCTTTTTTACCAATGCCAAATATCAATTGCGATTAAAGAGCCAAATGCAGCTTGCGAGCGACCAAAATGTGAAGAACCGCAAGGATTTGGAGCAATAAAACAAAGTAATGCAGGTAGTAAAGCTGAAGTAGGTCGAAGTTCATCTGCAGCACAACTGAGATTATTAAAGAAACGTGCTGCTGACTATGATACTACTTTGGATGTAAGAACTGATATCAACACTTTGGATATTATTGATGAGGTTATTTTTACTATTTTATCTTGACACATTAAAATTATTATTTATACTACATGTAATTGAAGATACTGTTATAATTTTCAGCACTGAACTGATTTGTCACAAAAAATTCTATTTTACTGCTCACAATAAATAAAAGATCTAAGCATCATTAAGAAATAATATAAAATATACGGAAAGATGAATAGAAAATGGTTAGCTTGAAGTTTTTTTCTTTTAATTTAAGCTATCATAAATATATATGATAATAAGGGAATAAATGGACAAATCAAGTTTAGCAAAAATAGATTGAATGATACTGAAATAAATGTCCACATCGCAATGAAATTCTTAAAATTTCGCACTTAGAAAAAGATATTTATATATTTTGTGGTAAGTTTTTTGTGCAATAGCAAATTTATTGCAACTTTATGAGCGATGTTTACTAATAAATTTGATTTGAGTTTTAAATGAAAAGCAAAATTTATTGTTACTTCATTAATTCTAAATGCAGTTGCACAGTGTAGTGGAAATAATTTATCAGATTGTATCAAAATTGTCATACTCGACATTTAAAAATCTTTCAGCATTTGCCCATTGAAATTATTTCAATTTAGCCAAAAAACTATTATAACATGGAATATATGAAGACTATTTACTCTGTACACAAATTAATTTTCTCATGTTTAGGATAAATAAGTCAAGAACTTAGAAACTCGTAAACTCGTAAAAATTAAAGTAAAAAGTTATATTTTACTGAAATAATTACTTCTATAGCTTACTAAAAAATTACAGAATGCAATAATACCGGAAGAACTTCGACATCGAGCACGATTACAGTATGGTAATCTAGTTACAATGGCCTCATCAATGTACGGTCAGAATACTATTTGCCTATCACCGATAATATTTTCATTACTATTTGCTTTTGGAATGCTAGTAGTTGCTGCTCTAATTGTTTATGCTTCTTATTCACGTAGACAAAAGTTATGAATATTTTTTGTGCAATTTCTCAAAGCTATGTATTAATTACGAATTATATGCCTTGAAATGCCTTGTAAGAGACCATATCATTTAATTCTCTTTATTTGTCTAACAATACTAGGTACAATTACTTCTACTATGTGAATGTGCAATAAGTAGTTTACATTTGTGCAATATATATTTTAAAGTCATTTGTGACGTGCTTGATTTTAATTTTTTCATTATTACTGTAATTTTTCTATCATTTTAATCTCCTGAACTAAGAAGCAATAAATCAAAAAATTTTGCTTACAAATATTAACTTCTTTTTTTTTCACAGTGCAAGCAGGCAGCAATGCTTACGTGAATTACACTTTGCCTTTACGCTTTCTACCACCGGTTTCAAGACCCGTCAGAAATTCATTCATATGCAAACTTTAAAATTTTTTCTCGTTTAAAGAATTATGACTAGACATGTTTGATTTTTTTTCATGAAAATAGGAAACTTTTGATGAAAATTTAATTGTCTAAACTGATTATGGTTGGTATTTCTATCTTACAAAAGAAAATAGAATTGGGACATATAGATGGATGAATGAATCACAGACAAATTTCTACTCTATATGCCCTCCGGTCCTACGTTGATGTTGGAAATGTTGAGAAAGTGATGATAAGTAAAATAAAGGCAGCGGACGTGAACGTCCATAAAAAAGATGATCAAATACCAATAATATCTTATACTTTTGCACACTTTTCATTCATTTTCACAAAATAAAAGTTTTGTATTTTTGTTTTTGTCAGTAAAAGTGATGGCAGCTATTTTCAACTATTGCTGTTACTTTTTCCATCAATATTATCATTCCTAATATTAAGTGAATTATAGTATTTTCATGATTTGTTAATAATATCATTATTATTACTATTAATAATCTCGATATATTGACTGCTTGTTACAAAAATTATTACTAATAACATTAATGATCACAACATTATTATTATTTTTATTGTTAACTGCATTGGTAGTAGAAGTAGCATTAGTAATGATAATGGGGGACAGTATTATCAATAGTAGTAGTAGTGGTATTTGTTGTTTGTTATATAGTGGACCACACAAGTAGGGTTAATTTCTATTGTTTAAGATAAATTCGGTTGGAATCGGGATTGGAATTGGATACAACAATAAGACATCACTCAAGCAGTAATATCTTTGCTACTTTGCTCCACTAATCACTTATTTTCTCTCCAGCAATTTCATTTTTGTGAGCAAAATTTTCATATTATCTTGAACATGTTAATCAGTATTAGAAAATGTATGTCATTATAATATCACTACATAGCTTTCATTTTCAACAGCAGCTTAATTTCTCAAACAAAACTGGTTTGCAAAAGGTGAAGAATCAGTAAAACTTGCCATTGTGTAGAAATGGATTAATAATAAATGAAAATAATAATAAGAATAATAGTTATGATGATGATAATGATGATGATGATGATGATGATACTGATTCTGGTAATTATTTTTGCTGTGATAAGAGTGCCATTTTTGATTAAATTTGGACCCTAAAAAAAATCATTCCTATTTGTGTTAGTACACAAATAGGGTTAATTTATCAGAGAATTTATTTTTTTACTACTTAGATTGATTTTTGTCGATATGTCATGCATATAACTGACATAAAAACAACTGAAATCAAAAACAGAGCTCAAATTGAGTGAAATGAGTAACAGAATTAACATCGTTGAAAATAGTGTAATCACAATTTCATTAGTGAAAAAAAAAACTAGATTTCCATTACAAATTACAAGCACTTTTAGTAAAACTTGAAATAAATTCTCAACATTGCTAGCAATATTGAGAATTTAACGCTTGCATTCACTTGACAGAAGCAATGCACCTGAAAGTTTCAAAAGTTGACATGCGATTCCATTTTTTTGAATGAATTTTTATGATTCAGTTGTAAACACTACTAAAAAGTAAATTATCATTGCTTATTTTAATGTGATAAAAAATAAACTCCTTCCATCAGTTGATTTTTATAACTTAATTTGCAGTTACATACCGTATTATCTGTATTCAATTTCAAACCTAAAATGTTTGATGAATCAAAACATAATAATTTTCACTGATTAAATATGTTTATGTTTTGATTCATTTTTTGCACTCATCAAATTGCTCACATTTCTTGCAATTCTGTTTAATTTGTTTTGTTTTACAAATAGGCTATTGATAATGTGGTGCAGTACTGTAATTATTATTAACATCTCTAAAAGTTTATCTGATTTTTTTCTTAATTAACAGTATCAAAGAAAATTTAATTTTAAAAAAGCGTTCGCATTTCATTTTCTAGATTTTAAAAATTTTTTAATGATAAAATAATGATAATAATATATACAAAAAGCTCGAAAGGGAAAGCAAATTTACAGATGCATTATTAATATTATTTTTGTAATAAATAATTTACAGCAAATAATTGGAGTATAAATAAAGAATAATATATTTATTACAAATATGTAATAAAAGATGTGATTACACTTGCAAAAAAAATTTCGCCCGATTTTTCAAATTACAGTTACAATTCAAAATTATTAAATCACTCAATGTGTATGACGTTTATATACATTTTTTAATTGATGAAGTAATTCGGCAAATAATCTGCTATTAATTTAAAAAATATTAAAAATTTTTTTAACAAATTATTTTAAATTTTCGCAAATTTTAATTTTTTTCAAAATTGTAACAATTTATTTGCTCAAATATATTTAGTCAATAACACAATATCACTGTTTGGAAGAAAATCGTGAAAGACGAAAAAATTAGAAGGAACTTCTTTCGCCAAAAGCAATTACACAAATTAAAAAATTATCGAATAAGAACAATTTTTGATGAGATTGAATCTTTAATGATTCATCATTTTAACAGCAATATTATCACTCATTTCTATCAATTGATAGAAAAAATTTTTTACATATATATAGAAATGATAAAAGTTTATGTTTATGTACAACAAGTTGAAATAACAACTTATAATAATCATGAAAACAATCGGAAAATGATGATGCATTTGCAGAAATCAAATTAAAGCCTGATTTTGGTACTGGTAGCAGATTTCAATAAAGCATTCGCTGATATCGATAGTAGTAGTAATAGTGGTAGTAGCAGTAATCGTAGTAATAGTAGTCATCGTTGTCATAGTCATAATAATAATGCTCATAATAGCAAAAATAGTAAAAACAAAATAATATTGACAATAGTAATAGTGATAATAATTAAACAAAATAATAGTATTAATAATAAAATAATAGCAGTAGTTATGATGGTATTGCACAGCTTGTAAAGAATTTTAACTCAATACTTAATTAATGATTTTGCTTTTTTGTGCATCAATAAATTCTTTTTAATTGCAGTTTCAGATGTTTCTTTTGTGTTGTCCAGTGGTTCCATTTCTTCGAATGGTACATCACTTTCAAATTTGACATATTCTAAAATATCAGTTATCTTAAGTAATATTTTGATGCTTTAAAAGCAGGTAGTAATCAACTTATTAACGATGAAAATTCATCATTATAAATACTTTTAAAACAAATTTCACTGCCCACATTTTTGTTTAAATCACTAAATAATAATAATATTATTATAAACATACAGTACGTGTCAGTAATTTTATTTTTGAATAATTTTTGTGATTTGTAACATTTTTGCAAATTTTGGTTGATATATATGCAATTTTGATTGCAATATATTTTTATGCAATTCACGTACTTTTATTTTTCAAAACATTTGCATAATACGTAGTGGAATTTGAGCATTACTGAATTTGTTTATTTTCTATCCAGTATTATATTGGTGATTTTAATTTTCAACAAAAACTGAAATCTTAAAATTTTTGAAATTGTTAAAAATTTTTTAGATAAAAATGTTGAAAAATACAAATATTAAGAAAACATTTTTAGCACTATTTATGAGCATGTAAAAAAAATGTACTACGTATTCCAATTTATGATTGAAAACAAAAATATCGAAAAAAATTAAACTGATAAAAGTTTTTTTCTCAAAATTTTCAATTATACAGTTCACTGTCAAAAATGCTTCATCAGCGTTTAAATATAACTAAATTTTTTTCCATAAGTTTATCGATCCATTCAAAAGTGATCATTTGATCAATTGCTAACAAAAATGTATGAAAAAACTTGACATAGAAATTTGTCATCTGGACTACACGTCAAATTAAATTTACCAAAAAGCTTCACGACATATTCAAGAGTGAAGCAATAATTTAATGACCCATATTTGAAATATTTTTTCAAACTACTGTGAAAGAGTATTTTTTATCAATTCATCAACCAATCAATCAATCAGTCAATCAATCAAAACTGGTCAAGTCTTTGCTTTTCAATTCAAATCCAATTTTTGGAAATGTAAAATATTATATAATATGATCAAATACCATTCATTGTATCTCATATCTTTTGCTTAATTTATAATTATTTTACACAATTTTTTAATTAAGCACATTGTTTTTAAAACATCAAAGTCTGAAAAATAAATCACTAATATTAAAAATTGACCTTGACTAAAATTTAATATTTGATTGGAAAACTTCTCTGAGTATACAAATTACATTGGACTTACCGGATAATTCTAATCCTCCATTGCGATTTTTATCAAATAAACTAAAAATTGACATAAATTTGCCATTCGGTTTCAAAGCATAACGTTGAGCCAAAATATTTTTTACTTCCACTACACTAAGTTTCTTATCAGAATCTTTATCGAATTCCTGCAAGATTATTTTGATTTATTCTTATGAAAATGCGAAAAATATTTCTCAAAACATCTATTTTGTCATTAGTGAATAAATACGTCTACTTCAGTCTATTCAAACTTTCATTACAGTTTAATACCTCGCATTTTTAGTAAATACTGAAATTTGCTATGCAAAATTTTATATTAGTATTTAAGGATTTTATATCACAACCAATTTCATCTAAAAAACTATCAACTGTCCAAAATATTTTTCAATAAACTTCATGTAAAATTATAAACAGTGATAAAATAATGGCACCAAAAATTTAGACGCCGCACTCTATGTAGCATTCATCTAACTGTCACGTTCGGATTTATTATTTTTTTAAATAATAAATTAATGATTTCAGTACCGCATAAATTTGGTCAAAATATTGCGCTCGTCGTTCATTCACTTCCTCATCATCACGTACAGCGTCATACTCACTACGGGACACAAATCCATTATCTTCAAATTTTAAATTTTTAAGATCGAACTGTTGAATTTTTTACAGCAAAAGCACTATTATCTTGTTGTGATTCAGTTTTTATTATAGCAAGATTTAATGAAGAACTAGTCAAATATAATTTTTAATAATAATTTTTTCATTTTAGATATAGGATATGATTACTTATGCTTAAAATTGAAAACTTTCATAACTTTCAGTACAGTACGTACACAATTTAAATTTATTTTTACTTTGATCGATCACATTTTGTTTTTTCACTCTTTGTAAGCAATTTAAATATAAGATTCTTTTCCATGTTTGATCAGAATGCAATACAAAAAATGTAAGTGCCATTAAATCTTATTTTCTGTATAAAAACTGTGTTATTGAAACTTTTACAAAAAAAACTGTCATAAACTAACAATTTTTATCAATTTGTTGGAATTCGTACTTCTTCATAATTTCATATGGTAAATCCAGATGTAAAAATTCGTCAAATGATAATTTTTTGTCGCCATTTCGATCTGATCGTTCAAATTGCTCTGCTAAAATTGCAAATAGTAATCATATGTAACAACAGAATAAGTTATTTTTAAACGCTGTAATTTTTTTAAATCAAAGATAAAAATTTTTTAAATCAAACTCTAAAATTTCACAAGCATATAAAATCAATTTTATACTCAACAACTGAGAAATTTTGTAAAGTAACCAAATTTCTATACATTTTTGGTAAGCATATTTTGTAATTTATTAAAAAGTGAAGCAATAAAAGAATTGGCATGTATTTTTAATGAAAGAGTATTATAATATGAAACAATTATTCTTTGTTAATTAGTACTTCCATATTATACCTAAACAAAAATCTATACGATTTAATTGTTATTGAACTAACCTGCTGTTTCATTCGGTAAATCTGTATTAATCTCATCAGGAAGTCTTAATGTGATTATTCCTGACTCGGACACATAGATTGAGCAAACAAGTAAGTAAAATAATAGCATGAGCATTGTTGTCTTCTGTATCATATACAAGCTGGAGATTGCTTGATTTGATTTGATTAAGTTGTCTGTGATGGTATTTGAAATGATTTGAAAAGGTAGTTTACTGGTGTCACGTATTTATAGCACTTACTCGTGCGTATTTTATCGAAAAACGGTTACCCTTTTTTCTTTCTTTCGCCTATGCAGTAGTTAACCTTTCTGTTCACCAAAACATTCCACTTTTTGCATTTCTTTCCATCTTTCTTGATGATATTAACATACATACACATATATATACATACAAAAATAGACAAGTTTGACTGACGAATTAAAAAAATGAGAAAAATATTTGGTAGAAAAAAAAAAAATTTAATCGTTGTCGGTGATGATGCTTCGATTGTTGCCTAAATTATTGTGCGCAATATTTTGGTGAATTTTTAAATAATGAAATCAGAATTTTCTTCTGACAAGTAAAATTAACAAAAATTATTTGCTTGTTTTGCTTGATAAATTGTAAACTGATTAATTGTGATTAGAAAAATAAAAATTGTTTTAAATGCTGATAATAACAATAATAATAGCAAATAGCAATATCATTTAATGGATAGAAATATTCACAAATATCACAATAAAAAAGAAATAAGTGTAATTTTTGTAACTTACTGCTTGATTAAATTTTTGATATTGTCTACTTAATTGTATTCATGAAGTATGTTTGAATTTAGTAAAATTTTTTTTCTTTTTGCAAAATTTGAAAAGTTTTTCAACTACAAAAGCATATTGATACTTTTTGAAAATTTTTCATTTTTTATAATATGTAAAAAATAATTTCAAACAATTGTGAGTAACGTGTTCATTTTGCAGAAAACAATTTGTCAAGGCAAACTTCAGTTCACGAATGTTAGATTAAATCCCATGTATGGCACGTGATTTGAACTATACTTCTTAATGATGATTAAATTGCTATTATTTGGTTACCTTTAAAAGTGGTAATTATCATCTCTAACTGAATTTGACAAAAATCAGAAATTCCTCTTTTTTTTTTTCTTGAAAATGATATTGCAGACATTTCTTCTTTTCACTAATGATTAGAATTTTGATGATAACATTTGCATTCTTCATTATCACTTGATCATACTTTTGATTTTTTTTTCTGTTCAAAATCAGTTCATTATAATTTTTTTTAGATTAAATTATAAGATTATACTATTAATCATATCATAAACAATCAATAATGATAATTAATTCATAGTAATTTCACTTCTTTAAAAATTATATGAAGCAAGTGCAAACAACATATTTTCTCTATATCATGCATTCATTGCATTTCATGTAATTGATTACTTCAATGTATTTTCGTCGAAGAACACTGTATTAAGTTTAAATTCCATCGTTTATGAATTTTTAGCAACACATTATGTCATTTTTAGATTTAAAAAAATGTAATTCTTGTTTTTCACATTTCAAGTTTCGTGAATTATATTTTCTACTTAAAATAATTACTTCGAGTAAATATGACTTCTGGCTTTTGAATCGATCTTTGCTCAAAATTTTGGAAAATTGTAGATTTTGCTGGTTGAAATACCACTTTGGCTAGTTGTCAAGTTATCATTTTACCAAAACCAATTCATTACACACTAAATAACATTCTGCTTCTTTGTCAGGAAAAAAAATTTGCATTAACATATGCAGATGTATGCAGGATTTGATACCAAAAAAAACTTTTTGCTTTAAAACATTGGAACTGAACACTTTGCATATATTTATTTTTATGGTTGTTAATTTTAGCACAGTTTAATGTACTTATTTGCATTTGCATATTAGTAATAAAATTTTCATCCCAAAACATAATAAATTTATAACAAATTATTGCATTCCATAATGGATATTGATAATTCAGTTGTTGTAAGCAAAAGTTATTTGAGAATCATGCATAAATAAAAATGTTAAGTATTCTTAAAATATTTGAATGACAGATTATTTCCAAATCCTTTTGTTTCATTTAAAGTTAAGTTATTTACAGTAATTATAATAAAAATATCATTATCTACCATCAATCTCATCATTGATTACTAAATTCACTATCAGTACTAAATTAAATACATAATAATTCTACAATTCATCAGTTTTTAAGAGATGAACTGATTACTTTATGCAGTTGATTAACTTGTCTAAACTTTCTTACACTTTTTTCTACCACATATTCGCTGTGAGCAGGAAGAGTTAATCAAAACTTAAGCAAACAAATAATCTATTGCTTTTCATAGTGAATGAAAGCAATTTTTTTTTCTACTGTGTGAAGTATAATATTCTGCATTAATGAATAAATTTATTAACAAAATAAATTTGATTTAAAAAAACTATAATATTTTTGAATGAAATTGACGCTTAATTTACTTACTGCTTATTTGTTTTTCAAATTCGATTTTAAATCATCATTTACTTTCCGAAAATTTGTATTCAAGTTGCTTTGAACTTTAAACTGCTACAATTATTCAAAAAAGAATTTTTAACAGATGCAAAAGAAAATGTTTCTGAGAAAGTTCTTTCAACTACAAATATTTTTCAATCTTCAAATTTTTCAACTCAAAATTCATTTTTCGTATTGTTGATTAATGAATTAGTGCATCAACTGAGTGGAATTGTCATTTGAGAGTTTCATTTAAAAAAAAATCTGTGGCAACTTCTTGACCAAATAAACTGTTGTTTTTTTTTGAAAATAAATGAAACAAAATTAGAATTTAATTCTCAGACACTTAAGTTTAATTTTTATAGTTGTTAAAAATTAGTTGTTTTAACAAATTATAATCATTTACTTGCTTCTGATAATTTTACGTAATTTTGCTTTACAGAATGAGGCGTTAAATAGAATTGTATACAATCATTTGCACTACAAAATGTAATTAATCAACAAAAAAAAAATTCAATATTCATCTAAAAAAATACGTTCCAAATATTTGCAATTATGCCGCTATTACTCTAAATTTTTCAAAATCATTATTAATTTAACAGATACAATTTATGACATCAATTTTGGTAATTTTTAATTGTAATTTTTTTTATAAATGCAGAAATCTGTGGGTAGTTTAATTTTCCATGCAAATTTCTGATATTTAAAAGTAATTTATTGCTGAAAAAACAAAAGCTTACTTCTTAGTAATCAACAAACGAACGTGTTTTCTTACCAACCAATTCAGGAACTGGTCGCTTAATTAATCCTAACATTTTTCCATCTTGTACTTGTTCACTTTCGTTTGATCATTTAATGACTTTTCAATTTTCAAATGGAAAATGTCAAGTTGTTAAGTCAAGTCAGTAAAATATTCCCACCAGAACACATTTGAAATTTTGGTTGATGTGATGTTTTCGATGGTTACATTTAATCTTGCATAGTTTTGGTATTCTTTTACGGAAGTGCTGCTACTGCAGCATGCAGTAAATAAATACAAAATTTCTTCACAAGATCAAATCAGATGAAAAGTGATATCAAATTAATAATTTCTTTCAAGATGCTATTAATATTTTTTGATCTATCTTTTGAATGACTAGTCTAGACTGATATAAATCACAAGCATTGAGTAGTACTTTTAGATAATATCAGCTGTGAACTAGAAAAATTAAAAAAACTCAATCAAACGCGTTTTTGTGAAATTTAATGTAATAAAAGTTGCAGTAAAGCTTTTTTCACAAAACCATAAATGGGTTGACTTGTTTCTCGCTACATTCCAACAATTTTAAAGAACCATTGTTTTGTATTATCAGTTTAAAAATGAAGAATAAAGGACAATAAAAAACTTGATATGCTGAATTTTTTTTCACATATTTTTAAGTTCGCAATTTAGTGTGCACAAAATTGAACAGATTTTAGATCAAAGTTAATATTTGCTTAGAAAGTTTATTATATGCATTCATTTGGAAAAAAAGTGTTATTGCACCATTAAAGTAAATAAGGTTTAATTTAGCTATTTAAAGAGAGAAAAAAATATTCCAATTATATGAATGCTAATTTATCTTCTCTATCGTAATTCAGAGCTAGTATTTTTACTGTATTACAAACGATGGTATAGTAATAATCATTTCTGAAGGAATTTAGTGTAAAGAAAGTGTATGACAACAGTCAACATCTGTAAATTCATTTTTAAATTGATTAAATAAAAAACGAAGTGTGACCAAAATTTTCATTACCACATTTAACTTTTCAGGGCTAAATAAGAGACAGTCAAATTACTCATATGTCTGTACTTTGTAAAAGTTTAATTGTTCTGCTCATTTTTCATTAATTTGATAATAATCAAAAAAGAGAAGCTCTGCTGTTTTAACTTTTATAGTTTGTTTAAAAAATGTATTTATGTGTACTTAAAAAAAATGCATCTGCTCAAAATCTATTCAATTGTATTTGTAATTAAAGATAGCTATAGATAGATACGAAAGTTAACTTAAGACAAAAATTAGCATCTTAAATTTTTATAATAACTGCATACTAAACTATAAATACTATTTTAAATTTTGCTAAATTTCAGCAAGTGCACCTTAAACTAATATTTATCTTTTCAGACTGTGCTTAGTTTTAATAGGTAAGCACAAATTATTACATAATTCTTGGTTGAATCTTTAAAATGTACAAACTAAATTCTTTTATGATAGTTTGCCCGCCCAAAAAAGCTGGCATAGACTAACTCTTGTTATAGTATACTGTGTTTAGCCTCTCTCTTATTTAGTAGAATAATACTGAAAGTTATTCAAAATTATCCATTTTTACAGCACATCTGCGATGCAAATAAAAGAATACAACAAGTGAACTGCATTTTTTGCCTTTAATGATAGTCAATCATAACACTTGCATTGCGTGAAACTTTTAGTTTTGGAATGGTTTGCAAAGTATATAATTAACTCATTTACGCAGTCATTACTTGTTAAAAATATGCTTAAATTATTAACAATATAATGATGTCAATAATTTTTGAACACGATAATTCCCAATTAAAATATTTAATTAACTTCTTTTTTGATGCTATTCATTAGCTAATTGCTGAGTTACCTTCATTTACCAAAACAAATAAAAGTAATTATTGCATTTGCTAATTTCATTTAAAATTATCACCATATTTTGTACCGAAAGTAGTTCTTGCTTTTTTCTCTCAATATTAAAATGACCTTTTGTATTCAATTTATGTAATATGCTTTCGTTACAATTATCAGAATTTGCTTTACTTTTAAAAATACTTAACTGCAACTACTTTATACCAAAATTTCAGCAGCACTCAAATAAGCAATTTTTTGTTTATCATTCCTTCATTTGCTTATTTACTTATATATCCTTGCATTTTGCATCAGCTAATCAGTGTTAAGCCAAACACCAACTAACTATCAAATTAATTAATTTTTTTACATAGAACCATTATTCTTATTTTGGAATAATTGCAAGAAGAATTTGAAGAAGCTTACTTATTCAAGTATAATAATAAATATGCTAGCATTAGTGAAAAAAACCATCGAATGATGATAACTAAAGAAAAAACAATACTATCTTATTACAATTTTCTCAATTAATTTTCCTTTATTCTTACAATAAATATTTTTACTTCTTTAATCTCATTCATTACAAATTATATTCATTCTAATATCAGATATTAAGTAACAATTATCACTTGACCAATTAATTTCATTATTTTGTTGATGTAGAATATTTGCAGGAATACTTTTTTGAATACTTTACTAGCAGATTACAATGATTTCCATAATCTTTCTATTAATTATGAGTGAACTTTTATTCAAGAAAAATTGAGAAAACCATTATTCGTTTTTGTTGATGAACGTTCCAGGAACTTTTGCCATTAATTTGCTTCGCCATATTTTATTCTTTTTCTGCAGCAGAAGAAATAATGCAATGAATGCTACGTTAGACTGAGCAAAAGAATGCTGTATTTTATTCCTTCCATCAGTGATAATTGCTATTGTAACATTGCCATTTTTGAACACTATTAATATCACGCATATACAGACAATTAATGAATGAGTACATCTGATGCACACTACACTAATCATTATCGATATCATTTTACCAAATCAACATTTTACAGACAAATTAATGACGTTAACATTTATAAGGTCAATTCTTTTTATTACATGTCACATACTATGAACTTATTCAACAACTCTGAGGGATTACAAGCGTTTTTGTAATTATATTAACTTCTGATACTGACTGTTTCCAAACACACTACAAAACTTCAATATTTTATCTCACACTACTGATTCCGCATTACTATCATAAACTTATTATTTACAAGCGTTTTTGTATTAACTTCTGATACTGACTGTTTCCTAATCAAAAAACTATTCATGACATCAAATAGCTTTACATACAGCAAAAAATAATGCAAAACAACACAGTTTTACTGATGCGTAAAACTGTCTTCTCCCGTAAACTACATTTGTTTTTCAGTTTTCTTTTGTTTCCTTATCTCATCACTTCTCAATTCATCAAGCGATTAAAAATATACAGAAATATATCTATTTATGAATTTTATTTACTTTCTGTTACATAATTCTGAAATTAGTAAATCTAGCATTGAAATTATACTTGTAAACAAAGATTGGCATGAAATATGAAAACAAACCAATCTTTGATCTCATAAGCATGTGAATTCAGTAATATGCTCGTGCTCATAAAACAGCATGCTTGAGATAGTACAAAAATATCTTTACTTCAGCCTTCTTTCAGTTCTAGAAATGACATGGAATAATAGAAAAAATACACAAATAAGTTCCTTTTAAAACACAGTAACAACATCCTTATTTAGTCGAAACATCTTTTGCAATCATTCATAACATTTATTCTTCAGCAAAAGCCTCTGGAGCTTCTAATCTTTCATTAGCGAAAGGTATCATTATTGCTAGATAACCGCAATTCTCAGTGTCAGTACGCATGAGATTAGGATTTTCAATAAGTCGTTCATTCACTTCAATCAAAAGAGCCTTAATCCCAGATCGTAAAACATAATGGGTGCCATCTTCACAATATACAACACATAGCTTTGTGTCCGGCAATAATAGTAACCCACCCTGCAAAAATATATAGACATGTTTAGTAGTCTGCCTTGTCCAAGAGTACAATAACTTACTTTTATCATAGTTTTGTAATGGCCTCAAATTTTTGCACATAAGTTGTATTAGTAAAACAAATATTGTTATCTAACTATTCAAATCAAATTTTACATAATAAAAAAAAAGAACCTTTTTTCCTTTCCCCATAACTTTTTGCTTGCTTCGATCAACTCCTTTGTTTTTCATATGCCACTGTATTTCTTTAATCGGTTTTTGCATTAATTCATGATTTTTACACAATAACACCACTACTACTCCACTTGGATGTCGAAGGTAGCATAAAGTATTGTCGCCACTTTTCAGAAAATACCGTTTGTAATTGCGATCGATTACGGATAGATGATCAGAATCCATCAGCGCAAAAAATATGAATCCTTATTTATTTTCTTCCCTGAAAACTCTGACTTACAGACAAAAAAAAGTACTATTGTAGAATGTACTGTAAATTGCGACATAGCTCGCAAATACAAAAAGTACAATATTGTCAAAACCAAAGTCACTATAGTTATAAATAATTTGCAGCGAAGAAATTCCCCTCAACTTCATTACTTCTTTCCCGTCCCAGTAAATAACTGCATAATCACTAAAATCTGAAGCATTTAAACTACTTTTTCTGTTGCTCGACAGAGAAAAACTGTACATTCCGCAATGCTATCCTTTTTAGAGTCTATATAACTAAAGAACGTAATTGAAAGGCTAACAGAATTTACTTAAAAGCACAAAAAACTCGCAATATATGAATCGAGTTCGACAGGTCACAATTTAGCATCCAAAACTAACCTAATAACGAGAAAAACTGTTACTGAGAACAAACGAATGAAATTAACCACAAATATAAGTTATAAAGCTGTAGGAACATCCCAGACCAGAATGAGATATGCCTTAACTGTACTATATCAATACACGTAAAAAGCAAGCGATCCAACAAAGCTTAAATTCTGTCAACAAGCAATGCTCAGATAAAACAATTTATACAATATCTATTCATTATTATAACCTGACTGCATGAATTCTTCCGCACCATACACACAAGTATATCGAAATGCAAAACACCCCTTAATGTTTTTATGAAACATGAGTTTTCTGCAAAAGTTTTAATTTTAAATTTAGAAAAGGATCAATGCAAACAAACAAGCCAGAGTATACGTCAAAATTTAATTTTTCAAAACAATGAAAAAAAGTAAATTATGCCTTTATATCAAAAGGAACTAAGAATCAGTAACATACAAAAATGTAAACGACGATATGAACAATAAGGTGGAAAAATCACATTATTCTATCATTATCAACCTGAAACCACACAAATTCAGTCATAAAACAATTAAACACGAGGTTATCACGTTTTGAGCACATGCAAAAAATAACTAAAATAAATTCAAATATACCAGAAGAACATTGTAAGGAAGCCCAACTACATAAGGATTTATTACTTTAAGAGACATGAAACTAACATTAGTCATACATCGTACAAAAGCATTATCTTTCAAGAACTTCAACAATACCATATATACAAGTTATTCTCTAATTCTGAAAAACAAGATGACGAGACAAAAATCTCTGCAAAATCTTGCAAACACGATATGAAGATTATTAAATGTCAAGTATCAATCCTACTTCGCAAAGTACTTAAAGTTCCGGAAAACGATTAGGATCCTCACGGTAAGATTTCGGTACTTTAAACATTCGCAAAGTTAAATCATTGCGGAACACAAATTTCTGGAATGTCACTTTGGCTGATATTGTTGGTAGAAGAGGAATTTCTGAAAAAAAAAAAATTCCTGCAAAGTTTTCGAACAATCAAACATTTTTATAGAAAGAAAAATGAGAAAAAGGAAAAAGCTTGAAAGATATCTTTTGCACTTCAAACTTACTCACCAACACGAACTGGAAAACCAGGCGGTAACCGTACTTTGCAGAAATTTCTTAGTTTATCTAAATGTTTGAAGGGAGCAACAATTTCAAGGATATCCAGCAAAACGTTTATTGACAAAGGAAAATCTTCGGACATGGCTACAAGAGCTTTGAAATTCTTAGTATTTTGTTTGATAACTTGAACTCGTCCCAACTGAGGAGCGAGACCAGGAGCAGCACCAATATACTCTTCCCATGTAACTGATACCTTTCCTGGCGGTGGCAAACTTTTTCGATGTTGCAGACTCTGAGAAAAATTAACGATACTCAGCATAACAAACACACTACAAAACTTCAATATTTTATCTCACACTACTGATTCCGCATTACTATCATAAACTTATTATTGAAAACCATAAAACACAAATAATAATGAAAAACATTATAAATCAAACGTACTATGAATTCATCCTCTGCCATCAAGGATCCAACAGCAAGATTCTGCATGAAAGCCTTATTCTTCTTAATATCATCCGCTGTTAAATGTTCCCTCCTGCATATTAAAAGCATAACAATATATGACAGATTATACGTAACTAACTCAATATGCAAGGCATTGAATTATTAAAAAAAACGGAGCTAGTTATTCTTACTAAAATGTCAAATAATGAGAGCTCATTTTCGGAAATCTTTTTGGAAACAGGAAAAAAAAAAACCTTTTACGAGTAACCAACGACATACCAGCAACATTGTAATATATAGCATCATAATCTCCTACCTGTTCCTAAAAAATAAACATATGCACAAGGGAGGGATAATCGAGAGATTTTATTCAATATGTGCTATCAACACAAGATCAAAATACCAAGGAAAAAATTATACACAGAATACAAAAATAAAAGGAATGCTAACTAATTTTTCGTGCTTAAAAATCCAACCACTCATAGTTCTTTCAAACATTATCGGTTTCATAGACATTTGAGCACTAATTATATCAGAAGACATTAATACATCTATTTCTTCATCCAACTCAGCTTCCGATTCTTCATGCCTTATGCGTTGGAAGACCTCAAAATGTAACTACGTCATAAAGCATAAACAGAATCTAGAAATAATTTGGTTTCTAATCCACTGAACGAACAAACTTGTATTCAAAATGCAAGGTTTCTCTAAAAATTGTCAAGAACGAAGTAACCTTAGTCTCATGATCTAAAATTAAAAGCGTATTTTTTGGACGATCTGGATCAGAAGTGAAAATGAAAGATATATTGCCACGTTCCCATGATCGATCATTAAAATTAACCAGTGTTGTGTCTAGCCTTAAGTTAGTCCCACGCTTATATATTTTACAGACATCAGAGGGAAGCACCTTGGAAAGGAAAGGAACTGAAACAAAGAAGTCATGAAAAGAGACGTTCAAAAACAAAAACAATAATAAATCAATGAAAAAAATTCTTGAAAAAATTATAACAATACAACATACTCCAACTCTGGAAATCCCATTTCAGTTCCAAATAAAAGTCGCCAAATTCAGATAGCATTTTCAGTAAGTGAGGTTTTCGAGCAATCATATTTTCCCGCGACTGAGCTTTTAATTTCCTCAACATTGCCGTGACTAAAATAAATTGAAATTATTGAAGGAAAAGGCTTGAAATAAATTTTAATGTCTCTACATTTTTAATGCTTGGATTATACAACAAGCCTGCATAATATCGAAAATAGGAGCAGAATTTATTAACTAGAAAATCATGATTTTCACTTTTTGTTTTTCTAAAGTTTAGCAATATTATTAAAAACTGTAAAATAATAAATTACACGTATCCACATGAAGTGTAACTCCAAATTATTCCTACATGAATCTTCAAGTACAATATGAAAATATTTTGATATAAAACAAGATTACTTATTTGACGATCACCATAGCTAACGGCTTCCATTAAACTATTCCACCCATCTCTATTTTTCACTTTCACAGGAGCATTATGAGCAAGCAAAACGGATGTTGCTTCTGCAATGATAAACACATATATATATGGTGAGCTTACAAGCTCTGGCAATATTTTATATTATGAAGCAGTGAATTGTACAGTGGATGGGGATAAGCTATTTAGACCTTTGTGTCCAAGCATTGTTGAAATATGCAATGCCGTATTGCCCTGCAGATCCTGCTTGCATAAATCTGCGCCTGAAAACAAATTAACTTCATAATGCTTTCTTTCAGCTGCAATCACAAATATAAAATAGTACCTTTTTGAACCAAAAAAAAATGACACAATAATAAAAGTATATGGAAGTAAATATCTGCAAAATAAGTAAATGTCAAACAAATTGGTAATAGTAACAATTGTATTAGAAATTGCTAGAAAAGCATTAAATTAAGAATAGTAACCATCTTTAATCAGTAGTGCGATTGTTTGCGCATCATTTAAGAATGCAGCACGATGCAAAGGATAAGGTTCCACTTCTGCCATCAACTCTACTTCTGCCCGCCGGTGGTCAGTAAATCTTGTTAGTAAAGTGGATGAAAACAGAAATCATCAAACTTTATAAGTCAGATACATCTCAGCTGCAAAAATTTTTCACTTTCCATTAAATATGCAAAACACATTATTATCAAAGTACTAAATTAAAATGGAATAAAGAAATAAATATAAATTAAATTAAACTTCCCAAAGTAATAATCAACACAATTTCTGATAGTTAAGATTTACTTACATTCCACTAATTTTTTTTTGCTACTTCAAAAATACTAACATCTTCACTATTATTATTATTAAACATACTACATCATTCTAACAGTTCAAGATAAACAGACCAAGTTAAATATGCCAATATTACCGATAACAACTAGTATTATCAAACGAATAGACAAGCAAACTTCGGATGTTTCTAGTTCATTTGAACGCAATAGCTGTTAACATATTATACAAAACTTACTTGCTCCTTCAGGATAACCTGAACAGGTGGTTTCACCTTCCCATATCGTATTTTAAGCAGGTGAAAAGAAAGTAATATACGTGTACTGCACAAATACAACCAATCTATGCTATCCCACATTGTCTTTCTATTATATACTACATTCTTTCCACAAATATTCTGAACAAAATGTCTGGCTGACTTCATTTCTGCTCTACATATATACATATGGATATCACACACTCAGTTTAGCTATTTGCTTCCTTCTCTCTCTACAAATCCACCACTAATTTTATTCCCAACTTACGTTGCAATTTCTCTATTCATTTCAAAAACAGTGCAAAGTTCTAGAATAATGCATTGCATATTCGTTGCATGCTATGAAATTTGAAATAACAATTCTAAAAAACTAAATGCATAATGTTGTTCTTATGCGGAAAAAAGCAGGTTGTATTAATTGTGAGAAGGAAGTTATTACTAGAGCTTAAGTGAGTGAAAGGTCATTGAGCAATAAGAATAAGTTCAAAACTACTTGGTTCAAAGTATGATTGGCAGAAAGTTGGGAGTTGCTTTAAGTTTACACAGCATAGTATAGAAGTCTGCTTTCATCCATTGCACAACGATGACTTTTTGTGAATGAAAAAAAAAGTTATGCATACTAAGAAATCATTTGATGTCAAAATCATTGGTCATTGATTTAAATGAAATTCTCAAAACGATATAAATTGTTCCTCTTAGCAACAATTTATAACTTTTTTATAAGAGAGATTTTGCTCTAGCAACAATTCATCGTGGAAATAAAATTTGTTGCGATAAGATGGGAAATCTTATTTGCTACACTTCTTGTTACTTTCATTTATTACTAATCAAACTTGTCGATCAGAAAAAAGCTTATTCAATTTTAGTCTTATTCAGAAAGCCGAATAATTCTTCAAAAATCGTTTATGAAGTAAATACATTAGGTCACAACTAATTACTAAATTATCTTTCACTGCTCTAATGGGGAATGACATTTTCAGAAAACTGACCTGATAACTTGCACGAATTTATGAATTTGATTAATAATATGCTAAGTTGAAGTATCTAGTAACTTGAGTTCATTTTGAGACAATAAAAAGCAAAATAAGCAATTTAGAGTTGTTTGTTTTCAATATCTAGTGGTAGCTTTTGAGGTCAGAGGTTAGAATGAACCTTAAAATTTGCCTCTGCAATACAAGTGAAGCTGAACAAAGTTTGATGTTAATAAAGCATTAATAGAAATGCATGAACAAAGAGTCATGATTACTTGGCATATTGTGGCTGCTGAGATACGATATGATTTTATGAAAGCATACTTCAAGACGAACACTCGTATCTGTTTAAAATAAAAATTAAGTATTCATCTAAATTCTGAATTTGAAGCTAATTTCAGTCATTAAGTAAGCACAGTCTATAATTAACTTTCACAATAGTTTTTTGTCAAATAATTATAATAAGTAAAAATTAAAATTTTTTGATTTCTAACAAACTAAAAAATTATGCTCTTTTTTAAAGTTTTAATATAAAGTAATAAAAGTATTTTGGGCATAGAAATAGATATCGAAGTAGTACTTTACTTCAGCTACAATATGAATTATTGCAAAGTTTTTCTGAGGTAAAAAGAATTTACTTTATAAACTATTTTTGGACAATTGTTTGAGTTTTTTTTTTGAGGCAAATGAAAAATTAGTCAGTTAGAGCAATTCTAAAGGCATTCATTTGGAGATGGCAATCGGTAGAGCAAAATATGAATGTAGAAAATCAGAAATATTTTTACAATTTTTTCGATTTGAAAAGTTCTTACAGGTTAATCAGTAAGTGGTGTTAGGTAAATAAGGTGCTAAATTTGTTGTCATTTTTCTTGACTGAAAAATTTAAAAAAAGAAGAATCAATTCATTAGTGCGTGGTGAAATGGGTTTTTACTGGTGAATCAATTCATCATTTTCAATAAAATTACATTAGATCAATGCAAAATTTATCATCAAAATATATTCATTTCATTAAAATAAAACGAATAATTGCAATTATCACCATTTTAATGATTTTGTCAAATTATTTTCATATATGCCATGCAAATATTTTTAACTTTAATATAAAATAATTATCAATAAATTACAATGTGAATTAATTTTGTCATCTTACTTAAATATATGTAAAAATTAAAAGGTGAAATGATTATAATGAAGATTAACTATCAATTTTCAGCTTGTTTTTAAAACTCTTACATAATGATATTTAATGTTAGTAATCTGAAAGCTTAGTTAAGTTGAAAATACGCTCACAAGCAATTTGCTCATAATTAACAATGATGTAAGGAAAAGATTCAAATTCCTACGAAAATATCTGTTTAATAATTTAAAAAAAAGCCAAATCAAACATTGCTGTCTTGGGAAATGCCTAGATTTTCAACACATAACCAAAAGCAATGTTTTAAAATTGAGATGGAAAAAAGAGAAAGTTTAACAATGCAACAAAATCGAACAGCTGCTAATATTTCTTGAAAAAAAATTTATTTTTTTGCAAACCTTTAAATGACAATTTTCTTCATTGAGACTAAAATTGTTGAACTTCAAATTCTATATTTTCTTATTAAATTTATTTATTATTTTTTTTAATAATAATACGTGATCTTAATTATTAAAATTAAGAAAATAATTAAAAATATAAAAACATAAATAATAAATAATTTTATGTTTATAATTATGACTAAAACAAAAATAAACAGTGCAAAATGTGCAATTTAAAAATAGCTTGTAAATTCATTAATTACAAAAATTCATATACAATTTTGAATAATAAAAACAGTTTGTGTATGTGAGTAATATTCTGAATTAGATTGTTAGCAATAACTTAAATAAATATCTGTGCGCTATTTATAAGAAAGTAGGCAGTGGGAAGACTACATACACAGAAAAGATGCAATATGAGAATTTGAATGACTAAGAATTTTCTCAAATGAAATAGTAGCTCTGATTACTGCATTGCTGATCTTCCTAGTAATGCATAAAAAATGTGTGGGAAAATGTAAGCTTTTTTATTTCTTAAATTCTGTAATAACCTATCATCATCAACATTTTTTAACATTACTTATAACACATATCATAGATTATAATATATTCATGAATCAGTCAATACAGCAAAACTTTTTTTTACTTGCAGTTCTTTCAATGTGTATTTAAAAACACAAAAATAGAATAGTATCATTATAATGTTGGTAATTTATTTCTAATTCTAGCAATTTAGTTGCATTATTTAAACTAAGAATCTAAATGCAACAACAATATTGGCTTAGAATGAGTAGTTTTAGAAGTATTTAAGTATAAAAATTAAAATTTGCAAATATTTCATAAATAAATCTCACATTTATTTTAACTTGTCAATAAAATAAGTACTAAAAAAAGCAGAAAAGTATTTTGTTAAGTATGATATGAAGAGTTGTTTTGCTATATTAAAAAATATGCATAAACTGCTAAATTTTTGATTTCATTTTTTACATTTTGTTAGTTGTTCTATCATTTTTGTTTACTATAAATTGAGAAAATGCATCCTAGCTGTAAAAATATTTCGTATTTTTAGTTAATGTTTTGAAGCATAAAGTTCAGATTGACAAAAAAAATAATGAATCAACTATGCCATTTAAATAAACTTTAAATGCAAACTTGATTTATGCATTAAAATTTTTGTTTTTTTTCCCATGTCGCAAAAATTATTCAAACGAAACTATAATTTTTTTAGTTTTCTATCATAAATTTCAATGTATTTGAGGACTCTTGTGTTTAAAAGTACTTTTTTTAAAAAGGTTTTTAAAGAAAATTAATAGCACAAACAATATAAACAAACTTAAAAAACTCACTACAAAACTTAAAGTGAATATATCCATCTGAATTACGTATACTGTATTTGCAGTAATATTAAAAATTCATTCGCATCTAAGAAGCCAGCAAGCATTGAAACGATGATTATAGACATAATCAGCTAAAATTTTATTTGTGTTGTATGAGAATATTTAATTCGTTATTGGTAATGGTCATGAATGATGCACAAATTATTGAGATTAAAATAAATTTGTGAAAATGTTTTCAAATTTTTGATGAAACAATTCAAGGAATTTGAATGAAGGAATCAGAAATTAACAACACTACACATTAGCAAAGTTTAAAATAAAGAAAATTATTGCTAATTTAGTCAATCATTTTTCAGTAAATAACATCATTTAAGCATGTATATATCTTTGCTCAATTTGCAATTTCAATAAAATAAAAAACTGAAAATAATTTCAAACAAAAATGTAAAATTTTATCACAAAAAGTATAGAATAAATCTATCAGTAGTAAATTCTTTCTCTACAAATCAACTAAATAAAGAATACGGTGAAAAGTAATGATTTTAATTGAAAATTTATTGCATTCTGCATAAATATACAATAGTATATTATGCTATTCAGCACAGTAAGTGAATTATTTTCTATGCTATAAAATCTATTATACTATTCATTTTTGCAATTACAATTTTTTCATTTTATTGCTATTTTTCGAAATTTTTAGCAAATAATTACACGATTGATACAATAATTTTGACCAGAAAATGGAATAATTGTTTGTTATATGTATTGCAAGCAATATATTTTAGTTCAGGATGTTATTATTCTCATGAATATTATTGTTAAATAATTAAGTAAGATTGCAATTAAAATTTTGTAAACTAATAAATATCAGTTACTTTGAACATTTGCAAAAAATATTCTTAGCGTAAAAATTCATCTTGTTCAAGCAGTATTAGAAAGCAGTTACTAACATTATGCAGATTCCATAAAGAACAAAAAATCATTTGCTGAGTGTAAAAATTTATAAAATAACGAGAAAAAAAATAACTTTGCTTCTCGAGTTTCGTTGCACATTATTTGCTAAAACTAGCTATTTGACTTACTTTTCACACAAACGATCCTCTCAAATTTTATTTATAAATTACTTGAAAATTACTCACAATAATTTCGAGGAATAATAATTAAAAACTAAAGTAATTAAAGCATTGCATTTTGTATTTGTTTAATTTGTAAATTTTATGATAAAAGTTAGGGACAGAGCGTCTGAAATTTGATATTTTTTGGTGAATGAGTAATAGATGTCTATTTTCATTCCTAGATTTCTTTCTAGATTCAATACATTAGTTTAATATTATAACTACCAAATATCAAAACTATTTTTCAACCATATTCAGAAAACACAACATTCCCAATCCTGTTGCTCTAATGGTTTACTGATTACTCATTTATTACGTCAGCTTTACTGTAATTATTTATCAATCTCATTTGACTTTCCGTTTGCCAGTATAGACTGTCCTATTTGTAGCTTCAGTAGCATCAATGATTTGATGAGACACAAGAATTAACTGTTTTTCTATTAAATTTACTAAAAATTTCTACAATTGAATTGGAATGCTATGAAAGGGAAATTATATTACCTGTTATGAATAATATGAATAAATATCTGTGAACTTAAGACCGTAGGTCGAAATATCGTCAGTCAAATTACCCTTTATTTCAGCTTATCTTATGGATTTGAATTCCCAAAACGATAAAATAATAATCATATAAGCTTGAAATTCTTATCATTCAAATTTTTAAATTTTCATTGAAAGTCAATAAATGCAGAAATACAGAAACATCTGTAATCAAACATAATCATTATTGGTAATAATTACAGTATTACTAGATGAAATTAATTAAAAACAGTTTTCATTTTTTGAAAAAAATAAGCACTAAATTGTTATAATTGAGCATTTATTGCACCATAATGTAAGTGTATGGATTTCAATTAAAAATATGAACTTAAGCAGAAGGAATGGGCAATTCATTAATCGCAGAAACAAGTATTTCATTACTTTCAATAAAATGATTGATAATAGTGATGCTCGATAAAAGGCAAATTTTTATTTCAGAAACTACGCAGTTTATCAATATCACATGCAAGATAAAGCCAGCGAATTTAAAACATAAATATATTCTTGGAACAATTTTTTGCTTACAGTAGTCAAAAATACGTATTAATTTTTTCAGTTACAACATGCCGAGCAATGCATGAAGGATAATGCAGTTTTTGTGATGAAAAATTTCCATATTTGCATAGTATGTTGTTCAGAGCAATGATCCAAATATGACAGTAAAATACCAAAGTCAATTAAAACTGATTTGCTGTTAAGTGTTTGAATTGCGTGCTTCAAAGATATTTTGAGGTACCAATTCCATTGTTTTTGCATCTTCATCATCTTTTTTATGACCTAAAAGCAATTATACTATTCTCGATTTCATAAAAAGATTGTAATTTCAGAACGACTCAACTTTAAATGAAACTAAACACTGATTGCAAATGCAAACCAAATTTGAATTACGGATGATTTTTTAGAAATTAAACAGTTTTTTGAATGATATTTTTGTTAGTTTATAGAATTTGATATAGCCATAAACAAGCTTAATACTTGAAATACGCACACCACTGATGTTCAGAAAGCAGAACAATTGACAAGCCAAAAGTAAAGATAACTGACAAGATCCCTAGGACAATATACATAATATGCAAGACAAATAGTCGACCTGCAATAATCTTCTGATTATTTCTTTTTTATATTCCGATTTGAAGGCAAACTGTTAGCTAAGTATCTGAGAAATATCTTAAGTTCTCACTTTGCTCCCACTATTTACTTGAGACATTTAAAATCTGAAATGACTATATTAAAATAGTTTGCCTCCTAGCTGCAACTTCTCAACCGTGTCAGTAAGAGCAACCGTGAAATTGACAGAAACTTCTTCTCCGTAATGCGAATAAACAAATAACATCAGGATAATGATCAACCGCCACAACCATTCCATATTTCCAATAATTCAACTCTTGACTCCACCAACTTACTTTTAACTTTATTCAACACTCAAATGAATGTACTTTCATTAAAGCTTGGGTTAAGCTCATATTTCAGCAGATTTCTGAAAGTGAGCCACTCAATGTAAATCGCTGAAAAGCAAAAAAGTATAACATTTATCGACAACTTTTGTGACAAAATATACAGATGAAGAGCAACAATTTAAGTCAGAATTTTCATCTCTAAGACACCACATTCCTCCATGTGATAATCAATTTGATCAAATGTAATCATTGGACGAGCAGCAGAAGGATCCCAACTATCTTTAGACCAGTCTTCAGGTGCTGCACTTCCGAAAATTCCGAACACTGCAGCAGAAATTAAGAGAAGAGCTGCTATCAGTAAAAAGATCAATCGCCACTCATCAGCATTGCTTAAAATAAACTTAAGTGATTTGAAAAAAATACAGAATTATACACTTTAATAGTGAATATGAAAATTAATGAACCAAAAGTGTGGATCTATTGAACTTTTAATGCAGGCCAGTCATTTTAACCAAGTCAGAGAAATTAAAATCCCACTGTCAAGTTACTGAGAGTACTAGGCACAGAATCTGACAAACTACTATGAGCGAAAATATAAACTTAATAAAAATTTTAAAGAATATATAGAATAAACGACAATTTTTTTGTATCATTCACGCTGAGAATCATGATAAGAGCTAGAAATACAGCCTAAACTCACTTCTCTTCAACGAAGAAGACTACAGCAGCAGCTGTGAAGAAGAATGCCACACCAATAAAAAACTGCATGAACGAAACAATAAATTGCGCGAAGAAACGGCCAACTAATGTTGCACTTTGAAAAAACCCGTGAATGGAAAACGTCAGAATACATAAAATAGACGTAAATGCTGTTACAATCCTATAAGCCTTGTAATTTTATTAATAATAAAGTAAGATAACTTTGTAATGACATGAGTAAACTAAATTCGATTTTGGCATAAGATTTTTTTTCTTAGCTTACTTCTAGAAATAGCTGTTTAAACTAATGTCACATCAGTTTTACCAGTAATATCTCATACTTCCTTATCAATACATTTTCCATTTTCAGTGGGCATCAAAGATATCAGTATAGTTCAATATGACAATCACATACGCAGAAAAATTTCAGTGATATGTAAAGTGTGTAAAAAATGTACTAGATAGTGGTCAACAAAGAATTTCACCACTGTTGAAATTAGTGAAGAAAGTTAACTGATATTTTAGGTATAAATGCAAGTAAGATAATTTACCCGCAATGGAGAGTGCCACCTGGAGGAAAAATCGCGAGAAATATAAAAATGAGTGAACAAATAATAAAAGAGGTAGTATTGAACGCTAACACGGAAGTCCTCTGATTGCAAAGCTTCCCAAGATAACGCCACAATCCATAAAGTACAGTAAATATAAGCTACAAATACTTTGTATTAACAAGTCATTGTTTCAAACGAGACAAAGCTTGATTTCTGGAGCAATATTTGTTCATTTTAATTTAGATTAAAATCACTTATGTCTATTTCGTATTTCTTCAAATATGTTAAAAAAATACAGTATTCCATTACCATGAACAAAAATGGTATGGATGCCATTACTGGAGAATCTTCCCGTGCTTCGTGGACAATCAAAAAGCAGTATAAGGGTAAAAATTGAACAGCAAGTGATATCACCAAAAAATAGCCACAGCCTGCAATCCAAACAGCCCAGACTGGAAATGACGTAAATAACAAACGTAAAGGATTATCGCCTACAACTCGATTGTGTCTGCCCTACAAACTTCATACAAATTATCAGAGAAATACATTATCATATTTCTCAGTAATTGAGTTTGTTTAAAGAATATTTATTTAAAATAAATATTGCAGCTGCAAAAGTATGCCAAATTTTTCAGTAATAGAGGACGTTAATCAGTTAATTATGAAGTAGAAAATCACAATTTCTTTATATAAGAAAGGTCAACCTTTATTTTCCCGGCAACTATTTTATTGAGTTCCAATCCATTGACCAAAGAATGATACTGTGGTTTTTCTCTGAATATCAAAAACCAAATCAATGAAACTAAACACGTCAGCAAAGCGTGAGCCAAGAATGGTGATCGGTAATCGTGAGTAAACATAACAGCAGACAAAGGCCAACTAATCAAAGGAGCTAACTACAAATTTGTACAATTTTTTGTGATCTGATAATAATTCATTAATGAAAGTGGCCAAATGCAAAAAGTTTTAAAGGCTCTCTTTTTTAAACTATATTTTTGAACTGAAACCACAGCATGACTGAACACTCATTTAACATGATTATTATTCTAATGATGTTTTTGTCTTGAAACATTAAGATACATATTTATTTTTCGATGGCATTGTTTTGCTGAGGAAAAATTAAGCATTAATGCAAATTATGTATCAAAAACTTTGTGCAACTGGAAAATTTCCAGTGAGTAGATGGTCTATTCTATCACAGAACTGAATAAAATATCGAAGTAACTAGCCTGGATAAAACAAGTACAACAAATTAAAAACAGAAACTGTTGTTTGAGAGTTCCCCAATTCGCTGTTACTAGACCGATCACTGGAAAGATGCTAGCGAACGCAAACCCTTGGACAAATCGCATACAAACAGTCAAATACTGGCCTGAACTATAATAATTCTGCATCAAAATCAGAAGCAATCTGTAACTTATTTATCTATGCATAATTCAAATGCTTTAATAAAGACTTATAGACCTTATGAAGAGTGAAACTGTAAAAAGCACATATTAAAATGCAATTCTACCGTATTTAATGTGTGGTACAATGGCGAGTAAAGCTGTTGCTGTAGCTGATAATATCATCGAAATAGCAAAGAAACGTCGGCCACCAAAAGATCGAAGAAACCAAAAAGCAGGGAATGATCCACATAACATTCCAGCTCCAGGAGCAGTCCACACCAGAAAATGTTTTGTTCGCTGTTTTAGCGTTTGTCGCATACCTTCTCTTAATAAATATTAAACTCAGCCACTCTGTCTGATTCAGATAACTTTCAGAAAAAATTTTAAATAATTTTCAGATAAAAAATACACATATCAACTGACTCTTCTGATTTTTCACCATTGCTTATTTTTGCATTATCATCCCAGTTTGAAAAATTTGCGGCTTCATCTCTATCGAAATGTGAGACATTTTTGTAGGTAGTAGTATCTAAACAAAAAAGTGAACACTTGTATAAAAAGTAAAGACTTTCATATGAGTAAAGTAGTACTCTTCCCAATATTCAAAATTTTTTAGAAGTATTCTATCAAAAAAACTGATTAATAATACGAAAACAAAAATTTACCATTTGCGTGAGATGTATGAAGAGAAGAGCTTGTGTTACTTGATTCAGGAAGGAATCTGTAAAATAAAATACAAACCTAGTTAAATTTATCACTGTAACACAACAATTTGCTTACAAATAAAAATAATCTGAACATAAACGTAAAATTTGAAACATAAAACTTAAAAATTTTTACTTTACTGTCGTCATTTCCTTCTCATTTGATACTGCTCTCGGAGAAGAACTGACTGAAACATGTGTTGTGCTATTGGCAAAAAGTTCATAAATTAAAATTACCATAAACCCACCAAAAAGAGATGCCATTAAAAAAAATTTTGTTGACGATAAGAAGTTTTATTTAAATTAATCGAAATGATTTACCACTGGTTAAAACTCACGATTAGAATGTCCCGCAAACATCGTAGATAATGTAGTATTCTCATTGAAATTATCTTCGTTCAGCATTTCCATCAAGTGATTGGATAATTCTAAACCATCCAAATCATCATCACCAACAATGTCTCTTGGAATTCGAGCTGCAAAATAAACTGTTACTAAGCGACGACACATATGCAAAGATAATAATTAATTTTATGTCATCAAATGATGTAACTATTATTTAATACATACATAGTAGTTCACTGCAACTCTTTCAATGTAATATAAAAAACGCGTTCATTATTGCTGATAGTTAAAAGCTCGTGAACAATAAAGACCTTACTTTTTTTCGTAGAAGCAAATTCTGACAATTGTGGTTGTTGCCATAACTGAGAGTGCTGCAAAATGAAAATAAATGTAGCTAACAATGCATATGTAAGCTTATGAAAAACTACACATAACTTCCAGAAAGCAGTTGATAATTATAGCTTATTACCATTACAGTAAACAATGTAAGTAACAAACGTTTGAAGAGTTTCGAAAGTTAAAAAGTTTCAGGGAGTTTGAAATGCTGACTTTTTTCTTTAGAAACTTGGCTAAAAAATTTTGATAAAGCAAGAAATTATACTATGGCGTAAAAGTCTAGAAATTTTTAGCTATATGACACTTCGTTTGAGGTTATGCTGCAGAAAACTATAACTAATTTGAAAACAAAATTTGAATTTAAGCTAACTTGGTAAATTTTTCCTCTAATCATAAAGAATTTCAGGACTGGATGCTGAAGCTTTTCATTTAAAAGCTTATGCTTATAATTTTTGGCCTAGTTCAAAGTAGCACTAAATTTGAAACATTTACAATGTAAACCACAAAAACAGAAATTTAAAAAAGAAACAGTTGAAAAAAAACGTGGAAAATGGCAAATATTTGAGAATGAATTTAGAAAAAAAAGGATAAAGTAAGTAACCTGCAAATCATCATACATTACAGCAACGCTGTAGAGAACAACATTGGCAAAAAGAATGCTGGAACAGGCAATTAACAGCAACAAAATAAGATAGCGAATATTATTAACAAAGCAACAACAAGTATACTGTCGTCGTGGTTTCGGCATTCGCTGAAAACAAAATATCCTTATTTTATTTCACACTAATTATAATTACGAATGACTACTGAACAAGCACGCAAAGATAAATGACATAATTAAATATTATTTTTGGAGATACGCATGCAAATGCATAAATTAACAAAAAATGCTGCCATGAATAAACAATATCAAAGAGCATCAATTTCAAATAAATTTGTACTAAAAGTAAGAGAAAGTAAATGTACTAACTGATCAACATATCAATTAAGTAATTAACTAGACAAACAACTGTCAGCTTTTTTACTGTACATGAGCAGAAAGTTCACGTGAAATACGTGAAAAAGCATATTTTGTATTCAATCACTTAAGCGTAGAAAGTACACACGACAATTTACTCACAGATTACGACCGCAACAATTTTTACTCTGTTCTTATCGATCTTAATGCAAATAACATACAATAAATGCATACCAAATAATTACACATCAAAATGAATAGCCTTTTGTATGCAACATTTTCTACAAAAGGCAATCCCATATGTTTATCGTTCCTTAAACTTCGTCATTTGAACCGTTCGTACTTTTTTTCTTTTTCCAAAATAAGCAAACACAAATACTTTTTGAATTCATAAAATTAAATGAATTTATTCAAAAATGTCAAGTAAATAATGCCTGCATAGAGAAACTGAAATACACTATTTATTTATGAAAAAATAAAAGAGTGCAAGGAGAATGTAAACAGTTGTCGTGTCACTCCACTACATAATAACATTATGAGAATAAAGAACAGGTATTACTATGATTAAAATCACTATTACCAATTACGAAATAATCACGATAAAAGTACAAATATAATAGGGAAAATAAATACTGCTATATAACGTTTTAAAATGTAACTAATAACAAAATGACATTAACAAAAGTGATAAAATAACAGCTAAAAATTTGAATAATAAATGAGAGCTACAATTTTAATATCAATAATCAAAGATTCATAAATTAACAAATAAAACAGAAAGAAAAACCTTGTTTCTTTAAATGCAAGCAAAAAAAAAAAAAAAATAAGCGAAGCCTAATTTTTTACATGCTAACCTGTATTATTTACGGTTAACATTTAAAAAAGAAATTGAGCTAGCTACTTCCGTTAATGGAGAAAAAAGAGCTTTTCTTGCGCCTGACAACAAATCAAACCAAACGAGGCATTAATTTTGGACTAGCGACTAACGTAGTGTCAAAATAAATGCTTCACAACGCATAAAAAATTAATCACTTGCTTAACTACCCAACTGATCCCAAAGAAAGTAATGAAAAAACAGAAATAAAAATTTTTGGTAGAATATTTTTAACTGAACAAAATTAAACCAATAAAATACCAAGCAGTATAAAGTAATGATATGAAGTACTTAAAAATTTAACTAAACTACCAATACATCTATATGATTGCTGCAAATCTTTTCATTCATTATATTTTTCAGACAAAAAATGATATCCTTTGTAGGAACTGTCAAAATCAATTCCCAGATAGATTAAACAGTAGCAGCACTTATTCAACAATGAATCTTTGTTACTAATACAAATATAATTATTATAAATGTCATGTTCAACAGTTTTGCAATATTAAATTAATTTTTGTACCAAAGTATTAAAAATGCTAAAGATAACAATTTTAAATAACTAACAGATTTGAATAGTATTCTATTTCAGTGAAACAAATTAGCGTTGGTTTGTTACAGCAACTAACACAATTTTAAGGTTTCTCAGTATTAACATTTCTAGTTCAACATGATAAGATTATAACAATGATGCTAAAAAAAATCTTCAAAGCATCAGCTTGAAATGCAGCACACCATATTGCAGTAGCAAGTTATCTATCTCACTTCACATCGCAACTGTTTAAAATGAGTCAAGCTGGCAAGTTCTACCCTACCATATGTGCCAATCAGTTGCTTTCGTCAAACAAATACTGCTTAAATTTAATGCATAAATACTAATAATGGTCAACTAAAACACCTCAAGTTCAATATTAATAGCATTATTCGTATCATGATTTCATTTATTACTTCACAATTTATATGCCCAATCTTGCCATATTTTTAATAATAATGCATTTATTTATATGACTGAAGCAGTACTCACAGCATGTTTTTATTCTAACAATCATTATTGGTTATAATTATTATGATTATTAAATACAATCATTTGCAATCGTTTTAATATTGATACCTATCGGATGAACAGAAAACTAACTAAAATTGAATCTAAAATGGAAGAGTAGGAAATGAATGATTGATTGATTACTACATATGTGATAATCTCGAAAGTGAGAGAATATAGCGATGGGAATTCCCGCGTTCCCATCATGACTAATGGTAACTCTAATAATATGAATCACAGATGTACTACTTTACTCAATAGGACCGCTAGCTCATTTTCACACCATTACTGTGATAAAACAATAATTGATAACTCGAAATGATGAATAATAACATGTACGTGTACACAAATTGAATCATTTCTCTCTCGGATTTTTGAAACAGCACTTAACGTGCCAGTACTTTTGTATTTCACATAGCTATTAATAATGCTACTATACAATAATGAGTAGAAATAATTTCTATCTACGATTATAACACGAATCATCAAGCACACGCACCTCGAAAATAAGCCTTCACAACTCATACGTCATTCACATACATGCATAATCAAAATTACGCTCAAGACTTTTCTATGCTATATTTCGGACTGGTATATATATGGAAATGAGAAAGAAGAATATCTCAAGTATATAAGAAATGCAGAAATAATGACTCATTATGATACACAGTTCAAACACTAGCAGTGCCCAGCAATCATACTTTTCAAGAATGCTTTGCAATGCATCAGAAGACATTTGTATAAGTAATAAAGTATTGTCATTAGCTACTGTTGTCATTATCGTGATTATTTTTAAAATATTTTCAGTAATAAAAAGTACTAAATATCGAACGGTAATTGCAATGAGTGCATTCAATGAAATGAAGGAGCGAAGAGAAGCAAATTGCACTCCTTGCTTACTCTGAAATCTTTGTCTATCGACAGGAATGATTAATGGTGCTATCGTGTTAAACTGTCTCAACTAAACGAACATATATGCCTTTTATCAGATTCTTTGCACATCAGTTTAAGTTGCGTCAACGAACAGTACACATCAGTAATCAGTCTACTATAGTATTAATAGAACTGTTTGTTTAACGTTCACTGCTGCTACTCTAATGATAATCATAATAATTATACTTGCCAATAATAATACGTAATATGAAAACTTTTTGGTCATACAATATGTAAATGTGATGGAATGAATGATAGAACACTTTCAGATTGCTAAAATAGTGTGAAAGGTTTTGCTATTGCTTACTTATGATAACAGTCAATTACAGTAGCACGGTGTTATATATATGTAATACAAGACTTCAGCTTAACACACTCAACAACTGTAACATTTAATTCACTAAATAAATACCAAACTGATGTGCTTCATTTTTGTCAGCAAATGACTTTATTTATTCAGAGTGAAAGTACATCAGAGAGTTACAAGTCATTGCAAATTAGGATAAAGCACAGAGGTAATAAGTGATAATAATGATAATAACTGGGATATACTACGTATACACTGTACATACGTTATTATCATCACACCTAATTGTTATCATCACGATATATAGAGAGAGGGTCCTTTGCATTACACATTGTTTAAATACAAAGTATTTAAACAAGTAGAATTTTTTCAATATGCAAATTTTTATGAAAATAAGTAATAAAGTATTGTCAATATGCAAATTTTTATGAAAATAAGTAATAAAGATTTTCATAAAAATTGTAAGCAATATTGCTCATTGTTCAGGATAAATAAACAGACAATATATAACTAAAACAAAGTAAGACAACAAGTTACAATTTTATAGTGTCCCATTACAGCTAAGCTTAGACATATGCACGTCGTCATCTGAACTACTTTTGTCTAGTTTGTTCAACTTCATCTGTAGTATATCATCACAGCTTGTATAGGGTGACACAGAACAATCTATATCTGAGTAATAATCATGCTTCAGGAGACTTTTGGCCGTAGCACGTACTATCGGATCTAGCATAAGCATTGACTGAAATAAAGTAATAAAATGCTGGCTTGATAAATGTGCATCTTCATTACAAAAACAAAATAATCTATTGCTTACATTCTTATTATATACATTATATTTTAAACATTATTATTGTATATATGCATTGTTGCTGATAGTTATTCAGCCATTTATATGTAATATTCAAACAGCTATGCTGGTTTGCAAGTCAAAAAACTAATTTTATCATTTGGTAATGAGATGCTATTCGCAATTCTATACTACAGTCTTAGCTATCAAATAACAGACTAGTATTTTAATTGCATATTTCATAAGCATGAAAAGTATTGCAGTGCTTTCTCCTTCTCTTGTTTTGTATAAAAACTTAATTATAAATCGGTTCACAAGATAATGATATGCTTGCGATATTTGAATGCTTGCAGTATTTGAATCACTTTGCATCCAAATATGCTGTAATATTTAAATCATTTGGTAAAGAAGAGGTAAAAAAATAGTAAAAAAATCAAGAAGGGGTAAAAAAATCATTTGGTAAAGAAGGGGTAAAATTTTTCCCATAAAAAAAATAGCTACATGAACTATGTCTATAGCAGTAGGATCCATAAAACTTCTGAGTGATTCTTTTAGATTTCCTTTTCGAATACGAGGAAATATCATTCTTTGGAACAAAGGTAAATCGAGATAATTTTTCCATACTTCCTGCGTTGGAGTTCCTACTAGCCTAAAATAAAACTAAGAATCAAAGATCACAACGGAAAAAAAACGACTAATAAGAATTTGAAATTTCATAGTAAAAGTGATTCATTGATACTTACGAGTGTATACATTGAATGAATAGTACATGGTAAGTAAAGTTACCAGTTGAATGCGATGTAAAAACTAACGAAAATATTGCTTTTACACGCTCTATTTCTGAACATCCTATAACTAAACGCCTTTTCATCGCCATCTCAGCAAATATGCAACCGATGCTCCACATGTCTACTCCTGGAGTATATCGAACTGCACCGAGTAAAATTTCCGGTGCTCGGTAAGATGCTGTTGCAATCTTTGATTTAAGTTTGCATCATAAGGATACAATTATCAACATGAATTTTTCTTTGTGGATCATAGTTATATTCAGTGACTTTTAAAATCAAATTATCTGTTAATGAGAGTGCTTAACAAATCACAAATCGATGTGTTTTTCCTTAACTTCAGATATTTAAAATATTTTAATTCTGTAAAATGTTATTTTTCGAAATATTTCAACAGTTTTTTCTGCTGATAAAGCTGTTAAAAGTTTTAAAAAAGACTGCATATCATATTTATAAAATAACTCTCACAATATTAGTATAAGGTTCCATTGGTATACTGTATTTTCGACCCAACCCAAAATCAGCAATTTTTACAGTACCATTAGTGTCAAGCAAGATATTTCGTGGTTTCATATCACGATGGAGGATGCCTCGTTGATGACAGTAGCACATTCCTTGTAGTATTTGATATTGGAATGATTTCTGCTAAAATATGTAAATTTTTCAATATTATTTTTGTAATCACTCTTAATAACGTCTTTCTTTTGATACCACGTAATTTCAAAAACAAACGCCACACAGATACATACATTTCCATTAGTTGTCTGATTAACTTTAAGGAGGAGCTTATGACAAGCAGAATCCCCTCACGGTTTTCCAATATTCTTACAGTAAAGTTCCTTCTCAATATATTTACATTTCTACGATTTTTCTTACTCATGTAGAAAAAAGTTACTCTTTTTACAATATTAACTACCGTTAACTTATTAGTTACACATCAAAGGAGAGTTATGAATAACTTCTCGCCGTTCTATTATTCATAAAACCAGTTAGTTATAAAGCATAAACCTACAAGTGAGGAACTCATATAAACATGATTTGGTAGCTCGTTTAAATAGCTTGAAAGATCAGTATGTAAATACTCAAATGCAAGATGAATATTTGACTTCGCATCAAGAATCACTTCTTCAAGTCTGAAATCGGTAAAGAAGTTTTTTTAATTTTATACAGAGCACTAGTACAAATATTTATCGAATTTCGTATTTGATGACCAAAATAAAATTGAAAACAGCCAAGTTATGGACTAAAACTACCTAACAATATTTGGATGATCTAACTCTCTCATTATAGACAATTCACGAATTACACATGCTCTAAATGAACCGTCGCTGGTGGTATCATGAACAATACTTTTCAACGCAACTAATTTCTTGCTCCGCGTATCAACTGCTTTGAAAACCTCTCCGAAACTACCTTAATCAATTTAACTTCTAGTATTTCTAACTTGTTAAAATGCAATAAGAAGCTATTTTAGTTCATTTTTATCTAAAAATGAGACTGGGATAAAGGTAATAGAATATTTCAAGCGTTTAAATAAGCTACTGAAGAAGAACTGCGAAATGCATAAGGATGCTTCCACAAATTCTATTGACAATTTACCAAGTCAAGCAAAAAGTAATATATTGAGAGGCAAACTTGAACGACTGTAGCTAAATACTAACCTTTACCGATTTTTTCCAGCTTAGAATAATGCTGCAGTCCATCAAAAGTAGTCGTCATATTCAAAATAGAAGAGATGCAAATAAATCACTCACTAACCATGTGATGCAAAAGAGTAAAGTTCAAACTGAGTTACTTTTAAATCAAAAATTAATCACAGTACTTAAAGCCTTCAGAACCAAAATTCTATGAATTTAGCAAGCTTGGCGATTTATGATAGAAAAGATTTAATTTTCTTTCTCGGTTCGATATAAAACACATCATGCTGTGCAGTTTGAAGACTTAATTGCAACTGCCAACCATTCTATACTTTTTAACTCAATACTTGATGATCAGTTCGAAATTTTTACTTAAATTGTTACAAAAAGGAAAAAATTTCCCTCTAAAACATGATAACATATCTATCCCTCAATATGAAGATACCATCCTCTTCCAAATATTTCCTTAAACCCAACCAACCATCGATGAAATGCGAGTGCTCACTCCTAAACAATATATCTCTTGTGACATTGGAATGGTTTGACTGTGAGACTGGTAGATCTTAATTATGTCATTTTCTAGTAATATCTGCCGAACTGAGAACGATCTTTAACACCATGCCCGTATAATCCTCAATAGGCTGAAATCACTTAAATATTGACCAACCCTTGTTAACAATAATGCAATGACCCATAAATTCCCAAAAGTAAAATTACTCTTACTCAAAACAAAAATATTCAACACAAACACCATTCAACTTCAGGGCAAGAAGGAAATTAGGGTATCACTCTGCACCAGAACTAAAATATAGTAATAGATGATAAACTAATAGAATATCAAACGTACAGTACACGAATACATTCAAGATCAAATAAGACGTACTTGCAATGTGTATTGAACAAAAGCAAAACAGTCTTTATTCCTTCATCATGACGAAATTGAATAGAAAAATTTGCAACATAATCAAAATAGTTTGAAGATAATAGCAGAGTTTAGAACAGAATAGCAATAAAGTGTAGTACAAAATTTAATATCGCAGTTCAAGGGGACATATTTGTTAGGAAAATAATTCTAAAAAATCCATTGTCAGTATCTTTCTCAGAACAATCTTAGATTTGAAAAAACTTCCGCTGTTCTAAATATATGCAGCAAGACATTGTTGTATTTTATGCACAGAACATTTTGTAAATTATAGCATGATTTTCAAGCGATTGGCACATAAAACGTAAGTTTCTCGACTACCCATTTACATTACGTTAAAACTTTAGATACTTGTAAAATAAACATTACAATCCATAATCATCACGATCATCATGAAAACGAAACGGAAAGTAAAATGGGATCGGATTTGAATGTTAAGAAAAATCTCTCACGAGTCTTGTTTTGGTAGTACAAGTGTTCCACAATAATCGCCAGCGGGAAGAGTTTTACGGTCAACATCATCAAAGTACGGATGTTTCAGCAATTCTTTCGCCGAAATTCGCAATGCTGGATCATAACTGAGCATTGACTGCAAATATTTTCAAGCTAATAAATTTCAAGTACTCATTTCCGGAATATCGATACTAAATTATTGCTTACTCGCAAAACTTCTAGGCCTTCTGAATCCATACGACCTTTAAGCAGTTCTCGTAAACCATCATCTTTCCACTGTGGAAAAGTCATATTGAAATCTGGCAAATCCCGCACTCCAGGCCATGATTTTTCGGTAGGTGTCGACATTATTCTTAAAACCATAATAATAATCAAGTCCTTACTTGAATGCAAAACACAAACCAAAAGAAGAAACCTAAATATGCGGAAGATCTGATCAATTTCGGAATCACCCTGAAATAATGGTGTTTTTGTAGCCATTTCAGCAGCTATACAACCAATACTCCAGATATCAACTCCCATGGAATAACGAGATGAACCAAGAAGCACTTCAGGAGCTCGATACCACAGAGTAACTACCTGTCGATAGAATAGATTATTGATGAATATATTAAATAAATCTTCCCAGAGATAAACTGCATTACCCACAAAAAAACGAATACCACAAGCTGCAACTCACTTCATGAGTATATGCTCTTACGGGGATACCAACAGCTCGCGCAAGACCAAAGTCAGCAAGCTTGATGGCTCCCATTTCATCAACAAGCAAGTTTTGTGGTTTCAGGTCTCGATGAAGCACACGTCTTTGATGACAAAAGCAAATGGCTTGAAGTACTTGATACAAATAAGATTTTTGCTGTAAAGAAAAGTACTAAATAACCAGACCCATTAAAACTTCGATTTAAAGATGTTTTACTATCTTGAAATCCTTATAAAATAGATGAAATCAAAAAGTATAGAACAATATTTACTTACCAGGGCTTTATTCATGTATTCACCACTAGGAATTTTATCAATATACTTTTTCAAGTCCATGTGAAGAAATTCAAATATCAAATACAAGCGATTCTCCTCAAGCACAATTTCTTCGAGCCTAAAAGTAAGAATCATATTTTTTTGGTATCAACTATTCAGCTGCAAAAAGTTTAAATATAAACGAAAAATTTAGTCTGTTTTCACTCATAATTATTTTTAATATGAAATTATGCTGAGAACTATAGCCATATCATTGTGATGAAACATACTCCATATCACACTTTCATGATGTTAACTATTTCGAGTAACCCTTAACATTTGCAAGACTGAAAAACTGACGCAACGATATTTGGATGCGCTAATTCTCGAAGCAGAGAAATTTCTCGAATAGTGGTAGCTGGTACACCTTCATCTTCATTTTCCAAACGTATTTTTTTCATTGCGACCAGTTTTCCAGTTCGCTGATCAATGCCTTTATAAACAACTCCATACGTTCCTAGACATATGCTTTCATGAAGTTTCACAGTTACATACCCACTCATTAAAATTCTATCGTATAAATAGTGAAACAGAGTTTTACTCAAAAAAAAATTGCAGCTTCGACCTAAACTTCGACGCTGCACTTTAAAAAAAAAAAAAAAAAATTACGCTTTAAACAGCACAAAGTAATGGTTACAAATAAATCTGGTCTAGTAATTTGAAAAATAAAAGAAACCTTCGCCAATTTTCTCCACTCGATTGTAAAACTGCAGGACACTCCTATTTTTAGTTCTAAACATTGTAGTATAAGTGTTGCGGTTATCAGAAACTTTGAGCACAATAATTAAAAATGATTTTATCAAACCGAAAGTAAAATCAATCCAAGGATGTTATAGCAAAACGTGTGCTGAAAGAAAATTTTTCGAAATTTAGTAAAACGAAATGAAGTTTAATCTCATAAACGATAATGATTACTTTTCATTCAGTAAAGTAAGTAACTGTATTTAAGGTTATGAGGAAAGGTGAAACTGCCACGGTTCATTCATTTTGAAAGATGAAGCAAAGTTTATCTATGCAATTACTAATGATAATATATGACTAAAAATGTAATAATATTGAAATCAATAATATTCATCTCGAGCATTTGCTCTCCATATGTATGTAAAAGGAAAAAACTTGCGGAACAGTCTCGTAGAGCAGATAGTAAATGAAACGGAATGAGTGTCCCAAGAAAGTAACTGTAAATCATTACACAATAGGCTAAAATTGCTAATTATTATTATGCAATAGTGAATGTGTTAATAAGCTTAGAATTTATTGTTTAAATAAAATCAACTCATCATTCATAGTAAATTATAAGTAATTGATATGAGAGTAAAAATAGTAAGCTGCTAAACTGTCACAAACACAAAGCAATATTGACTTTATATGCAGGTAATTGTATTCACTCAACTTACAAATTATACCGTTTGAAGATTGAATAACAGTCAAAATGAGTACCTCCAGAAGAACTGACTGACATGTAAACGGACAAACCTCGACAATACCTGAACACCTCAACCCTCCACAGTACTCTATCTTTTCCAAAGATAAAAACAAAGCCTCTACACAACTGCCCAACCCCCTGCATAATCAACTATATTCAAATTATTTTGCATTATTTTTGCCGCCACCTAGGTCACTATGAAATATCTTATGTCATAAATTCTCATGCTTCTGCTTCACATAAACATATGCTCTCGCTTTTTCCTCTAATATAATTCATAATAATGCGAGAATATAGTTTACCAGCCACCCTACATACATATAATGCCAGATCAAGCGTATTTCAAATGTCCCTTATACGTGAGTTGTCCCAGGTTATCCTTTATAGAAACTTTCAGTTAACTAGTAGTTGATTCGAAGAAATGAAGGATTCACCACTTCTCTGTATCAGTTTCAATTTTGAAGCACACCTATGAATCGATAACTTTAAATTGATGCTATGAATCCATTACGAAGAGATAAGGTAAAAATATGTAAAAGGGAAAAAAAATGAATATAGATTAGCTTTTTATTAATTATACAATGAAAGCAATCTCAATGTGCACACAGAGTGAAAGAAATAAAAATATTAAATGCATATTAAAAAAATATATTTCTTTTTAAAATCATATTTTATTTTTTTTCCACAATAAGCGGCCCAACATTATCACCAGTGAATTGATTATGCTTGATATGGGTCCTATCGCAATAAGGCCACTGAAATGCACTCGTGAATATAATTCTTCTAAACTAAAATTATCATAATTTCCAATTCCATGCGTTTATAACGTATCTTGAATTAAATATTATATGAAAAAGTGATAGAAATATGAAAAGAATTATTGTTAAGTTTATTGCTAGCCAAAGAAATGCTAATTGAAAAATGGAAGTGCCGATTTGATGCTATAAACAAGTCCAACAACAGACTAGATCTTATGTAAAAGTTCTTTTACAAACTAACAGTACTACTTTTCCAACAGCGACAAAAAACTTTGCTCTTCCCAATTTCTTCTACATCAATCGTTTCGACCACCTGAAACAAACAAAACGAGCATTTGCAATTCGGCAATTCAGAAAAACTTAATTAGAAGCAACTCCCATACATCTAAAGCTAATCTATGCTAATACCAAAATCAGACTAAATGGTTACAGGAACAAACACATCTATGAGAATGACTCCTCTATGATTCTATGTCCTAACCTACAGTGCCATCTGTAATTCAACTCATTTAAGATCATATGCACCAAATTGTGAAAATAATCAAGACCGCTCTATAATAAATTAACACTAAAAAGCCAACTCCGAAAATTACTTTATCAGAAGAAAGTTTGATTTTTTTATTGACACGAGCCTTTTTCTCGGCAAAATATACACCAAGATAGTAACCAAACAGCGCAGATCCGATGATCGCACCGATTCCTATCAGCCAATCTTTCATTTAGTGGAACGTTCCGATGAAAAGCGCGAAAATTATCTAGTTTGTGAAATTAGCCTATATAAAAATTTGTATTAAATATTGAGTTAGTATGCAATAACAGTAGTTAAATCTGCTCGAAATCAAAAAAATTTACATATACGATTTCATGAAGAGAATCGTCAGCTACTGATTGAAAATTCTTATCTAGTCAAAATTGTAGGCGAAATTAAGTTAACTTCTCTAAATAAGAAATTCTTAGATAAAGAACTGAAAAATGAGATGGACAAAAGAAAATCCAACTGAATGAAACAGATAACACAATATGATTATGAACGTTGTATTATGTTTTAGTATAACAATTAACTATTTGTCGAGATACATAAACAAAAATTAATAGCATGAAATTACAACAGTTAATTGCTCAAATTATTTAGAAAATTATAAGCCATCAAAACTTCAGAATACTAGATCAAACTGCAATAGGCTATAATCCACTGACTTTAATTTAAAGGTTTTATCATCACTGGTGACTGTGATAACGTTTGCCACCTCTTGAAAATTACAAATTATTTGGGTTCGAAAAGATATGTATATGGCCACAACAAACAAACGAAACTCGCTTCGTAAACGTGTTAGCAATTACTGTCATGAAATCAAGTCAGGATTAGGTAAACGCCTGAAAATGGCAGGCCATTTTGACCCTTGATTTCGTGATACTTTTTGTCCTTCTTCTGTGCTACTATATAGCACTTCTATAACTGGATCAGTTTTCATTTCTTTCGCAGTTAAACGCGTAAATAATGGATGAGCAGAAAGATGTTTGACCATCCAAATATGCAATTCTTCTACATCTGTCATCGTATAAATGAGTCCTGCAAATATATAGCGAAAATGAATCGTATCCAATAAAGGTTACCATAATTCAATTTTTAATAGATAAATAACAACAAAATCAGTAAAATAAAGAAATTTTGAGACAAAATCATGGACGAAATTTTGTTAAACTCTTGATAAAAGTATTCGTTGCATTCGTAGAATCACCAAACTTTGTACAATATAGTTTTCATATTGATCAACCTTCACTAGTTATTTAGAAAACAGAAAAAAACTTATTTAAGCCTAAAGGTAAACAGAATAATGTCAACACACATATAAGTGCGTAATATTATGCAAAACCAGTAGTACGAATTAATCGCGAGTATTTTAAAGGCAAATGTTAAACCAGTAACACAAACGGAGAAAGATCAAATATTTCAATATTCATACCAAAAAAGAGCTGGAGAGTCTTACCTCCTGGTTTCAAAATGTAAGCATATTCAGCAATTAAATTCGGCGTGATGATTCGCCACTTGTGCTTTGCCTTTTTAAAATGCGGGTCAGGGTAAAGAAAAAACATTTTGCTCAGCTGATGTTGATAAAAATAATTAGGTAAATACTTCATCGCATTAGCACGCAAGCATGCCACATTAAGGTATTTCCCTGGTTCTCGAAGACGTAACGCCGTAATTCTATCTTGTACATAATCACTGACCTTTAAAATTCAGGACTAGGAATTTACAAGTAAATGAAACAATGAATGAATAAAAAAACAACAATTGTAAAATTTTTTAAAGAACCATCCGCTTTTAGTGATTCAACACCAAAAGGTATCTTGCTAATATTAATATAACTTTAAACCATTACTCAAGTCTAAATTTTCAAAAATAAATATATTAGAATAACGTCTAATCACTAGTAAAGGTTAAATTTTTTACAATGGATATATCAAAATTATGACGACCTATAGTGCTAAACTAAAACAATTATGTGCAAAGTATAGACAAATATCGCTGAACGTCTATAACTTTTATGCTATAGCTTCCACTGTGAATTTATAAACAAGTTCATACGTAACTAACTTTAGTTCGAATTTCCAATCCAAGTATAAGTGTATGCGGATACAGAGCAGAAAGACTGATAAGCAAGCCACCATAACCACAACCAACATCAACAAACTCTACTTGAAACTTCTTAGCCAGATCACCGAAGTAGATCTCCCAGTTCATCCTTTCAACGACTACATTTAAAATTCAGATAACAGCAACAAGTTCAAATGACTAGTTTTTTCAAATGACTTGAATTAATTTTCTCGCTAAGTAATCGAAGACAAGATCACACAGCAACACAGGAAATTATAATTTCTCAATAACTGAGAAATGTGAATTATTTTGCTGCAACCCAAGATTAAGTTTCTCGAATTTTGCGAAGAGATTTCTCAAGTATTTAAAAAAAAATACATTAGTATCTAGACAGTTTAATCAGCTGAACTATAATCATGAAACGGGAACTGAAAACGCGAATAAATCAAAACTAAACAAACTGCATTCAAAATTTTCTAAAGAGCAAAACTTATGGTTAAAAAGAAGGCTGAAAAAACTCATAAAGCGATAAATTCTACAAGTCTTTTATTCCTTACTGTTTAGGAGAGACAGGATAACAAAAGTCATGGTCACTTATTGGATTCGCATGAGCCCTTTGTCTATAAAACTTCTTCCGAGGTAACTCCAAATTATCTCCTTCACTAGCACCATCTTCTTCCATCTCTACAACTTAGCATGCATTAATTTTACCTAAACCATTATAATTCCGATTAACATATATCTCAGAAAAAACTTGAGCACTTGAGAAACATACACTAAGTCAACATGCATTAACAAACGACCAAAGACATGAAATGAATATCCCTAGCACTTTCTATGAGCACGACATCAGATGAAACAAAAGAATGCAGACCAATAATCCCTTTACTACCCAAGATAAACCTTCTTCGATATAGCAATAATAACCAGCATTGTGAATAAATGTAAAAAATTGGCTTCAAAAATACCATATACCTCCAAAAATTAAATCTTTCACACTAAATATTACATACAAGTATACAAGTGTCATTTTCATTTTTTTTTCACTTTGATATTCTTCTAACACAGTCTTATTCAACTAAAATGTACTTAATCAAAGTTCACCAGAACATAGTTTAACACATCACAACTCCATATAGAGTCTTATTAAATGATTTAAACACAGAATGTAACTATAAAAGCGGTTTAACGAAATTTCATAGTTTGTTTTTTATGACTAATGAGGAAAACAAAAATTGAGTAAAAGTGTATCTATCACAGTCTGTTGTATGAAAAACAAAGAAACACTTTTGCAAAACTGACACCAATAGAAATTAAAATCTTGAGCAAATCTCTTGAAAATATGAAATTCCTTCTAAATTATAAGCGATAAGGACGACATAACTGTTGATGTAGTCAGATTACACTGAACAAATAAATATCATAAAAATGGTTCCACTTATAAAACTATCAGCTTTTTCATTAATGAACTAAGAAATAATAAACTCAACTAATTTAATAATATCTGTACTAAACATAGCCATTTATCTAAAAAAGAAGCTATAATCATGACTAATAAAAAATTAGACTCGTTGAATAACACTAAAAAGTAAAAAACTGGTAATCTAAGTCAAACACACTAACTGTTTAAGCTCGTAATTTGTTTTGGCACATAGTAATAAAACAACTTATCTTCTAAATGAAATAATGAAAAAAACTGAAAAAACTGCTCATCAGTTTCTGCCTGGGTAGTTTTACTGGTACATATATCTTTGACATGTGAAATTCCACAACATAAGACCAAACCAGATCATCGATTAATTATAGCTTTGAAAAATTTTCAATCTTCAACAAAATGTAATGTGAAATGAAGTGAAAAGATAAGCGAAATACTTATCGGCATGAATTCCGCACCCAGAAAATTTGAATGAACAAAACATAGGTTATATACCCTGAGAGAATAATAAGGATAATGTTATTCCTTATCATTAAAACCAACTATAAATTGCGGTTTTCTTCAAATTTTTTCTTTGTAAATATATGTTGTTTTCTACGTTTAGCAGGTAGTTCTATTGCAGACACCTAAAAATTAATATATCTATGAATCTCTATAAAATAAAAATCGTTATAGCAGTGTTGTACTGTATCAATACAAAACTTTCAAAGTTTTCTAATAAAGAACTTCATTTATATTAATTCTGTTTCAATTTTCATTATCAAAAATTTAATGGTATTTAAAGATTAATTTCAACGAAAAAACCTAGGTTCCACGCAATATGTTTCAGAAATTTATGATTAAATAAAAAATCAAAAAACCAATCTGAAGAGGCCAACCACCACCGATAACACCAGCTTGTACTGAAGCACCAATCACAACGGCCAGTTCTGGATCTATACCATAATTTGGTGCTTTACTGAAAGCACAGGATAAGAAACCGAAATTTTTTACTTTCAATTTTAAGCTCTGCTGCGCTTATATGAATACAAAACATGTAGCACCAGGAAAATTAATGTCATGCAGAGCTCTCAATAACTAAAAAAGTAATGAAAAACTTGTGCTCACTTTAATCCTACCTCATACCATTACTGTTTATATACCTCTCTAAAACAGTTACAGCCATATTTTCATTAGAGACCAAATCAACAAAAATCTGCATCAAAAACACACAAAACATATTTCACACTGTGCAGTTATATTAGAAAAGCTGATTTACCCAAAATAACGCCCGATAACTGAACGTACGCGCGGAATACGAGTAGACCCACCAACTAACACAATTTCATCGATGTCAGATGTCTTTATTTCAGCGTCATTTAGTGCTGCTTCTATAGGTTCCGTGATACTTTCAAAGAGATCTTCATTCAATGATTCAAATTTCTCACGAGTAAACTATAAATTTTAAATTACATGCGGGAAAAGAACCACAAAAAGTCATAAGAACGATGTTGCTTTCACCTCTTGTTTTGGAACTCTATATAAGATATTTAATTTCGTATGTTCAAAGTTACCCGATAATGAATTTTCCCAAGTGACCGTAAATTTACAATAATGTCAGCGGTAGGAAATGAAGTGAGATGAATCTTAGCCGCTTCAATAGCTAGCCGCAGCTGTTGGATATCTTCTTTGTCATCCAGTACTCTATTGTGCTGGTGCTGTATATACTAAAAATGAGAAAAGTATTAATACCATATAAAAATTACGGAAAATGAATAATAAAGACTGATAACAAATACATATTTGGAATTAAGCTCATAATTCTTAAAATTATATAAAATACAAAAGATATCGTGAATTAAATTTTATCTTAAATAAACGCATGGTAAACTGCTTTTCAAAGCTTCATCCTTTGCTTTTTAAATTTTTGTACAGCTTAATATTTCATCGTTATCAATAATAATAAAAGCATAAAATGAAGAATTCGACTAACCTCCGTTAAATAATTTTGCATACGATCATTGAAATCTTGACCACCAAGTCTATTATTGCCAGCCATAGCCACGGTCATGAAAACTCCTCCTTGCAACCACAATAATGAAACATCTAATGTACCACCACCTGACTCGTATTAGTGCTAATATACAACAATTTTCATGGATGAATTAAAAATAACGAAACAGAATTTAATGTCTTTTGAAATTTAAATTCACAGATTGAAAGAACGAAACGTATGAACGAAAAATTGCCTAGATCAACGACAATGATATATTCAACGCTCTTTTTCTTGTGCAAACCATATGCAAGAGCAGCAGCTGTTGGTTCACTTATTACACGTCGAGTTTCCATTCCTAAAATGTGTAGTAATGGAAATAAAATATATGAAATAAAGTTCTTGATGAAAATGCTTGTATAAAATTGAAAATGAACCTGCTTCAATGACTGCTAACGATGTAGCATTCCGCTGCTCATCATCAAATTCCGCTGGAACAGAAATAACAGCTTGCTTAATTTGCACATTATACTTTCGCTCCGCTGCTTTTCGCAAATGACTGATTATTATTGCACCAATTTCTTCTGGTCTGATTATCCTACAACAGATAAGCACTTCATTTCTATAAGTTCAAATAGCTTGAAAGTGAAGGAACTAAAAATCATGTCAAACTACTCCTTATGTACCATATTACTTATAACAAATCAAAAGAAATTGTCTCCAATACATACTAACTTTATAGTATTTTTTTCCAAAGGTATGACGAAATACACTTTTCCCTGTTCATCCAATTGAATTTTGAATGGATATCGCTTCCTATCATTCTAAAATGAAAATATAAACAATAATAAATGACAGATGTATCTTCACATACAACTTGAGGGAAAAAATTTTTTCTTTACTAATATATATATGTTGTACATAAAGTATATCAACAATATGTCTAACGGCTGGAAGATTGAAAAGCAATTCATTATTACATACTGCATGATACCGGGCAGTTTAAGATACAGAAAGTTATCAATATAACCAATAATGTCAAAAAAATTTTCGTAGAACCTGAAGCTGTAGGTCATCTTTAGATAATCTTTTTCCAATGAAGCGTTTAGCATCATATATTGTTCGTAATGGATTGTGTTCCTGTTGTTGTACAGCTTTAGAACCTACTAAAACAGTACCATTCGATCTAAAATTGTGATTTCAATATTATCAATTAAAAATTGTCAAACTCTTTAGATCATTTAAAACCATATGAGGAATGAAAAAAAATTATATTTGATATTATTTAAATAATGGCTAGACTTACAGAAATGCAACAACGCTCGGAATACTTTTCCGTCCTGTCTCGTCAACAATAATATCTGTTAGGCCAGTAACAGCTTGATATATACCAATTGATGAAAACGTGGTTCCCAGATCAATAGCCGCAATTTTAGGCACTGGAGGTGATAAACCATATTTCTGCGCCAAATAACCAGCCAAAAGTAATGCTAATAAAGAAGACCCTGAAAATTTCTTTCTATTAACTACAGTAATAGCTTGATATCATTCTTTTCGACAAAGGTTGCAACTCAAAATTAATTAAAGTTAAAATCAGAATATACAAGAACAGGCTTGAATTTGGCAATACAACTGCAACAAATCAATTTAAATAAGTCTTAACATCTCTGAAATACATTACCTGTATATGAGTACATATCTCTACAGTATTTCTAAATAATGAAGTTATACTTGATAGAACTTACCAAGAACTGATATTGCTAAGGACATGTCCAATAACTATGATAAGAAAATCCACAATCAGACGTCTTCGTTAATGATAAGGATAAACTTTTCAGTTTCTACGCCAGTATTGTCATTCTAAGATATTAGTTCATCACATTATAACACATATTATTGACTTTCAACTTCTGCACTTTAAATATACTGCAAATTTAAAAGTATCTTATATTAATTTGAGTTGTTACATTCTCATAAAATGAATTCTGACAAACTTTTTTGTAATTAAAATTTTAATTACAGTACTGGTGAAAATGTTTTAGTGCTGATTGCTCGAATAAAGTAAAATTTAACTAGTTCATTTATTAGACAATAATTCACTTAACATCTATACACAATTAATCCTGTAGCAAATTGCATAATTGTTTCCACACGTCATTTCTTCAGAATAAACTTTTTATTGGTCGTCCCCGTGGAATACCACGGACACAACACACGTAAGTGCAAAAATTACAAAATTTGGACAGAAAAATGTTAAAGAGCGAGTGATTCATTAGTAAATGAATATGAAGTAGTGATCTGCAAAGAAGGTAATTGCAACCGCATAAATTGCAGATTGCAACCAATATAAAGAGGTGTTTATATGCAATAATATTCAATTATTTTTGTGCTTGTTGCTGAATGATTTAGTAAAGTGAAGACTGGTATTGCTGAGATTTGGATGAAGAATGAAGCTTAAAACATAGACGAAAAAGATTAGTGTGTGATAAACAGTAGTATGCATGTTTGTATTTGGTTATCTGAGCAGGTTAACTGCTCCTGACCTGTCATAATGATCATTTATTACAGTTGATTACCACAGTAAGCGGTTAATGCTTGTATTTTGTGTACATATAGTCCTAAAGTTAGGATCTGTGCAATGTTCATTAAAAATCTATGTTAAATTAACACTAGGTTTTTTTTTTTCAATCAAAATAATGTAATCAATATGAAACTTAAGTAATCAGATATGTTGATTTTTTTTTGCTAAATCAATCTTAACACATTTGTACATATGTTGCATATTTTCCCAAAATTTTTATCATTTTTCATCTCAGATTTTCGTCATAAAAAACATTCTTTCTCAAAGTTACCAACGAAGCAATACGTGGGAAATGCGTAGTTGAGTTGATGAAAGCATGCATCGCAAAAATGTTAAAATTTATCGTAACTGTATTTTTTTAAATACACTATTGCAACAGTAGTTACTGTAAACGTTTTTATAGCAATAAATCAAATGCTTGGAAAATAGATAATTCAACGTACCTTGCCATGTCCACCACTGAAACAGGAAGAAATTGATCAGCTCATCCAAAGAATGATAAGTATTTGCGGAAGCTTAAAACATTCATTGTGTGAATTGATCACTTTCGAAAAACTTTTACGTGTATGATTTTTTTGATTTTGCTCCAGATTTACTCTACATTAAACACAATGCACATCATTTGCTTTCAGAAAAATTTTATGCAATTGAAATCATTGAAATTTCATTAATATTATTTTTGATTCAGTAATAAACAATTTTGATGTATTCAGTAATTGTGATCTTTTAAGACTTTTAAGCTGTGATCAAAATATTGAAATAAAATTTTTGTTTTTTAAATTGAATGTATTGCTTTTGATAATTGGATTCAGTTTTTGTGAATAACATTTGAATTTCTACAATGTCAATAAATAGAAAATATGCAAAGAAAATTTGAAAATTTTGTACTTTTTAAAATTATTGGTTTTGTGATTAAATTTTTTCAGCTCTAAGTGATTAAATAAAAAGTATTCAATTTTGAACATAAGAGTTTTTAAGTTTCACATTGTTTTACAGATATCTCATAAAATGGTAGATTCGTTAAGACAATGTGGTACACTAGAATATATTCATAATTCAGAAAGGGTTGCTATATTTGGTGATTTGCATGGTAGTTTGTATGATTTATTCCGTAGACTAAAAGATGCAGGCTGGCCTACAGAAAAAACATTAATTTTCCTCGGTTAGAAATTTTTTTCACTTTATGATCTACTCAAATTAAAAAATTTAAGTAGATCATTAAGTGAAAAATTTTTTAATCTGATTTTACTGAAAATAATTATAAAAGTATTTTTTATTTAATTAATAGGTGATTATATTGATCACGGAAAGGTATCCTTTAGAAGTACTGATGTTTCTTTTTCCCCTTAAGTTACGTTACCCCAAACGTGTATATATGTTACGTGGCAATCAAACACAGTGAATCAGTGTTATGCAAATGAAGAAAATGAGTCTGGGTTGGTGCAGAACGTGCGTTCATTTTTTCTTCAATCAATTTTTTTTCACGAATCACAAAACGAATTCTACCATTGCATCTTATCATCAGGCGGATAACTCTCACATTAACACAACTTTACACTAATTATATATTTTTGGCACCCTTTATACTAACTATTATCTTGAAGCAAAAATTAAATTCTAATACCTTTAACTATTTCTCTTCCTGCGTTAAATAACGGAATCATTGAAATAGTGTCTCACCAAATTCTAAATATTTGAATTTATGATGTGTGTTACCGTAAAAATGTTTGCTCATTTAATACTTAAGGCAGAGAAAAGCTTACTTTTTACAGATTGAAAATTATTATGCAAGTGCTGACACGAAGTTGATAACAGTTAATAGTAATTTCGTATTCGATCACTTACCACTAGCAGTCATATTATCAGGTGAGTTGAGGGGTCATTTACATGGTAACACACTTGGATGAAGGATATGCGAAGAATCTATAAAATATTATCTAACTCGTCCGAAGGAAATCAAGGACATCCTGAATGAAAGTAATGACATATGTGATGAAAAAGGAACCGTAAGCTCTGTAAAAATTGTCAACAACAGAAGATCAAAAAATAAATAAATAAATAAAAAGCAAGAAAAGGAGAATTCTAATAAGAAGACTTGTGCCAGGTTCCAATCAGTCTTACTAGTTTTTTCTAAGAATGAATGACTCTTTAAAAACAAAACAGTTATTTAAAATTTGTCAAGTAAAATAATAATTATAAATAAATTTAATGATTATTATAGATCAAGTATTACTCTGTCATGGTGGTATCTCCCAGTATTTAAAATCACGAAATGACATAGCTCAAATACCACGTACTGTAACATAGCTTGCACCAGAACTTAACTTATTACATAGCAGTATTATGACTGATATTTCATGGGCTGATCCATACAAAGAAATAAAGTAAAACCTGCATTACTTTACTTTAGTAGAAGTGAATTTTTAAATGTCTGGTGAAGATGTTTAAACCTAAAATTAATTCAAATTGTTTAAATCTGAAATTATTTCAAATTAAATAGTACGGAAATTTGAAGTTTTTAATTAAAACAAGACATTAACTTGTCAGTATTAAGATTACACAATATTATTAAATAGTGAAGAATTTGAGAAAATTTTTGCATCTGTTTACAAAAATCAAAGATTTACAAGTGGCTCCAAGTACAAACCATCTGGACGTGTTGTCTCGTACTATTTCAATCGTAGAGCTTTGAAAGAAAAATTACGGGTATTGAACTGCCGAGCTCTTATACGTGGGCATGAAGCCAATGCTGTATGTCTTAAATTTGCAGAAAATGAAATCAATATAAATACTACATTTTATTTACTATTTATTGCCTGATTATGATATGATTGATTTTATGCGAGATCAATTTTTGAAAACTACTCATTATTATCCTCAATATTCTTTATCCTTTAAACTTGCGTGAGGTAATGAGAAAAAGCTACGTGTACAAAAGTAAGCTGTTATACTCATGCAACTCCTGCATTATTTTAGTACTACATAAGTTTTTGAAAATTAAAGAGTTGTTTTGTGAGAGTTTTCGATGGTTTATGTTATACTATATACATTCATCATCAGCAGCTGGTGATGAGTACTGTGCAGCAGCCATTTTGTTGGTTGATTTTGATAAAACGACAAATCTTTTGAGAGGCAGTGTAGTTTATCATTCAACAAAAGGTAATTTAGAACATTTACGTGAAAAACTGGCTGCAAATTTTGCACGAGTAAGGTAGAGTATTTTTTCTTTCGACATTACCGCAAAAAAAATTTGTATTGTATAGCACTTAAAAAATTTAAATAAAAACCACATATTTTTTGACTCTCAATCTCTAACTAACTTTAATTTGACATTCTTGATATTGTTGTTATCTTATCTGCGTGACCTTTTGATTAAACGCTTGTCAAGCTATGGCTACTTAATTTTAAATACAAAACAGATCAATTTAAATTGTCAGAACTAAGTTCTAAAATATTTACTGACATAACTGCGTACTCAAAAATCTTTTCAAAATGTTTATTTTAATAATAAAATTTACTTTTTTGTGCTATTGATTGTGAAAATAATTTCGTTAACATTTTCGAGCATATGTTTAGAATATTTAACTTTTCAGTTACTCTATGGATAACCATTCATTTTTTATTGGCACTGCAGAAATTATTTCTGAAAATGTTTTCAATCAGTTTTTTTTATTTAACTAATTCATGAAAATTTTCGGTAGTCATCATTTCACATTTTCTCATAACTTTAAATTTGTTAATGCTTTTTTTAAGCTACCTTCTTTACTGAATTATTTATATTTAATATGATTCAAGAAATCTTCATCCGCTTGTTTCATTTAAATTTATGGATGGTGTAGCGGCTGCGATTTTCAAATGGCAACGATTTATTTCACACTTTGATTTATTTATGACTACTCACGTTTGTAGTTATCAATTGTACAGTATCGTGAGAGAATCATGAAATGAAACTTTTGAAGTGAGCTATGGAGGCTCATAATTTATTAGAATTGTTTACGAAGAAAAGATCAAAAAAGAGCCAAAGAAGTAACTAAATAAATGAAACTTCATTTTAATTTATTTCCTTACAGCAAGATACTACTGGTTACGTTATTAATAACAGTAACAGAAGTATTATCAATGCCTCCTTACTATTCAACGTCAATTTAAAACTGCTTCTGTGAGCAAGAAAAATTATTCATGTTTAAAACAAAGCGATACTGTGTTGTTACTTCTATGTTGTGCAGGAATACCGAACTGGTAATCACAGTATACAGCTTGAGAAGGGATTTTTTGATGACATGGATGCCGTTTCACGAAACAATAATATAAATGATTTGCATAAGGCTGCTGCTCTTGTATATCCGAAATTTCTGAATGTGTTGATTAAACAGCGGTATGTGTTTCGCTAAATACTGTTGTATTATTAGTTACTGAAAAAAGATTGAGTTAACAACTCAATTAATCATATTCAGATGACTGAATTTGAAAATGTTTGCTAAAATAATTTGATTTTAAACTCATTTCATGGAAAACTCCTTTCAAAATTTGTTGACATTTTTTACTTGTAATGTTTTATTGTATTAATTTTAATAAAGTATTAATTTAAATGCAATTATTACAAGTAATTATGTGTAATTTTTGTTATATTCCAATAAAGAAATGTTAATTCCTTTGGTAGACTAACAGTTGTGATCAGTAAGAAAATTTTTTTAGGCATTATAGATACAGACTGACCAGATGAAATAATCAAAGCACCTCATCATGATTTTCAGTTTGTACTGCCTCCATCAGCCGACCAAACATGGCCATTACTTCATTACTGAGCATTACATTTACTTACTTACCATTTTCAGATAAATTTTGGAAATTTTTAAGAAGTTTGCATATTTTACATGAACACTTGTGGCTGGCAATAAGTGCTGGAAAACTAGAGATTTATAACTTTATTACAGTTTTGTGCCTTACTGTATAATTAATGTAGGCCTGAATGCGCAAAAATTTATTGCTTGAAAGAATGTGCTGCACACATAATGCTTAGCTACTAATTGAGATTTCTACAGGTAAAAAAGGCAGAAATAGATAACTTAGAAGAAAAATAGTTGAGAAGCAGAAAAAAGCTGTAAGGAATCGAGCTTTCTGGGAATTTATGAGATTAATTCAGCAGTAGTACTAATGAGGCGGCGGTTGAAACCTGATCAGAATATTCAAGAAAATGTTAAGAAAACCCACGCAAGAAAGCATCTCTTTGTATTATCTTCATGTTGTCTTACAGTGTCTTCATGTTGTTTTCGGTAATATTGCCGGAAATGTTTGCAAATGTGAGGGATACAAAGCGTTACAGAAAATTCACTGTATTTTTTCTTCGAATTAAACTTGATTTGTTGTTGCTTTTCTTGAAATAAAATGCTCAACAAAAGTAATACTTCAAGAATTGCAATAAATAGCCACATACGCATGATGGCGGCAACTCATACGGTAGTTTTAATGTTGGCAGCTTGTTTGAATACAAACTATATTTGCCTCTAATAAGTTTGCTTCAAGACTCCAGCATTTTAATGCATATCAAATTAATTAAAGCGATAAATTATGTGTGATGGTATTGGTAAAAATGTAAAATATGTTTCATGATAAAATTTTGATAAAGCAAGCCATCAGCAATCAGTGTTACTATCACAATAATCAGCGGTTATCAACTAATTGCAGTAACCTGAGCATATGTGAACAAATGACGTATTCATAAGAGAACGGATGGAAATGGCATTATTTTTCCAAAATTCATACCGACCATCTCTTGACGAATGCATGGAACATATCAGCTTGTATGATCAAATGTAGCTACAGTTTATTTGCAAATACACAGTGACGATATAATTTATTACATTACGGGTAATACTATATACTGAAAGTTGAACACGGAACCCGTTCAGTAGTATCCTTCTAAACAGTAACCAAAAAAGAGTATTTGTGCATAAAAAATATAAACCGAATAATGCATGCTTGTTTCACTTAGTAAGTGATGTAAGAAATGTCTGAAATTCCTTTTGATACTCTTCCGAACACTTTTGAAAGGATGTCTGTCTTCAGTGATTCACTTGCTACACATTTTTTCGATTGCGAAAAGGATAAAGTAAATGAGTACAGAATAGTAGTAGTTTTAGCTGTTGTATAAAAATTTGCATAGTAAAGTACAACTTACTCTAT